GCTTATCAATACCTTTCCAGTGTGCATTACAATTTAAAAAAAAAATAAAGGAAAATATTGAGAGTAATCAGAACAAGAAAAGTGTATCTTTTCAACATGAAGCACAAAAGGCAAGACAAACAAATCAATTTTTCTGTATACACATCTCGAGAATATTATCATTCTTGATGAAAAAGTCGCCGAATTCGGAACAAAAACCTCACAAACCGCACAGCCCCCTAAAAAAACGGGGAAAATATTCACACTATGCTGGGCTCGAACCAACATCCCCGGGATTAACAGTCCCATGCTCTAGTCTAACCTATTGAGCTAATCGTGTTCCGTTATTGAAAAAAATAACATTAACGCTTATATAGTTATTTGAATTTGCATGCAACTTGCCTGGAAATTTGCTAATAAGGTTGTGTGTAATATGCATGCCTCGAGTCTGACTATATAAACCTATAGCCCGCATTGATTCTTAATATGCGCAGAAATTAAACAACATGCAGAAAATAAACCAAATGGAGAATACAGAATATTTGAAAGCGCTAAAGAAAGTATTCGCGAAAGTACAATATGAACGTGAAATGAAGAAGTAAGTACGAAGCAAAATCATGATGTTGAAATAGAAGTTTGTTCTCTCTCTCAAATTTTAGATAGCAACTGGAATGAAATCAAGATAAGATAATTAAAAGTAAGCATTATTCTTTTGTGCGGCTCAATATACAATATATATATGCGATATATACAATAATCACGAGGAGGCTTCACCTCGCCCGCTTCGTTGGGAGGTAGCTCCTCCGGCTATTGTCCACCTTTCCCGCGACATATACGCCGCCTTTTCAATTCTCAAAATTTGTGATTACACGATGCATCTCGTTAAAAAAATAAGATTCTAGTGTCCTATCAAAATCAGTACAAACATGTCCATATGCTTCATAAATGGAGTGGTCGGAAACCAGAACGTAAATTCAACATAAAGGAGTCGTCTGTTGCTTTACAGTGATCAAATCAAACTTGATTGTGTCCTGTTTATATTTGCTGTCGTATACTCCGTTGTTTCACAACACGTTTCGTTGCAGGAACTTCAGGAACTCAGAGGGTTCTGGGACAGCTGCCCACTGCCGACGCAAGATGCAACCGAATATGGTCTTAAAATCCCGGTGCTTGGTTGCATAAATCGTCGGGTTGACACAACTGTTAAAAAAGAACAACGCGAAGAGGTAGGGTCGGGCCGGGCTGTCACCGCACATGACCACGACAGCGTATGGGGTAATGCACAGCATGAAGGCACAGACGACATAGAACATGTTCTTGGTGATGTCGTTCTGCCGGCGTGTCACCTGGGAGTTGATGGCCGGCACAGAGCTCGGGGTGGCTGGAGATTGGATTCGGTCATCGCTTGAGATGTGAGCCTGGGGAATCATAACAGTGGAGGTGGTTGGGATGCTGCTGGGCGTAAAATGGCTTGCTTCTTGGTGGACCGTAGCCATCCTCTTAGAGTGACGTTTGAGATGTCTCCAGATGAGTACGTAACAGACGATGATGATGACCAGCAGAATGGGGTATATAATGCCTGCTACGATGGTGTTGTAGGTACGTGAGCTGGCTTGAGAAGTGGTTGACCCGCATGTATGGTACTTTTGGTTGTAGGTGAATCCGCTTATATTAATGAAAGATGGTAGCAAGGTGATGAACAGCGGGATTAACCATACCAAAACCAGCCAGATGACGATCTTCTTGGGCGTGTAAACTTTATGGTAAGTTGTCGAATGTCGTGTGATCAGCAGCAATCGGTTCAGGGCGATGGCGACGAGCGAGAAAACGCTACAGCCGACCGTGGCGTTTTGAACAACAGCTGTGATGCTGCAAACCCAAACACCGACCGGTAGACCCTCCCGGCCCAGCAAAGCCACGGCATTCCACGGGATGACCAGGCAGGTCAGAAAGTCCGCCACGCTCAGGTTCACCACGAAGGCGTTGGTTGCTGTGCGGACTTTATTGGACAAAAGCACGGCCAGTATCACAAGCGTGTTACCAAAGATTCCCAGCAAGGCTATGACAAGGAACATAGTGGCTACGATGACCCTCTGGGTGTAGTCACTGAATTCGAATGTTAAACTCTCCGTGGGGTCCAACGTAACCCCCTCGGTAACAACCGTGCTCGTTGTGACATCCATTTGGAAAAGTTGACTTCACTTGTGATGGCGGACAATCACTCTGAATGATTTTCGTGCTTAGGTTCCACAGCATTCCACTCTGAAAAGAATACACTTACTTTCATTTTCTTTTACCGCCGCAGTCTAAAACAGGCTGATTGATTTCTTGTTCAACAGGCAGAAAATGCCCCGTTCCTGAAATTTTAGAATGACTTTTTACTTTCGTTGTCTGTTTCGATGATGAAAGGGAAAGAATATCTTCAAAACACAACAAAGTAGGGGCAGAGAATTCCCAAAAGCTAGTTAAAAGAGAAAATGTTGAAGTCATTGTTAAAACTGACCCAGCTTTATTGTAATCAAGATAATGAGAACAGTTTCATTATCGACGGAAAAAAGAAAACTTATGGTGAGTTGATATAGCAAAGACAGCGCACGATTGTCTACCTCAATCTCTTGAATACCTCAACGTATTTTTAATTAATAAATGGGGCAAGGTGTCCATATGCACAATTTGAAATAGAGTTGTTGTTTATATATAAATACAGCACTGCGTCCTCCCTAATTCGTTTGAAAGTCAGTGGCGTAAATCTGTGCCGGCGAGTAGGGGAATGGGGGATGACCAAAATCTAAAAATTGCCTGGGGGAGGGGGGGGTGGGGACACCAATTAAACTAGGGGACGCTATTTAGGATATAGGGATTTAGATGTATATCAATACGTATACTCGCGTTTGCATCAAAACGGCTCATTTAAAAAGCTTTTGTCCTTTTTTCCCTTCACTTTTCAGTGCTACTGAATACATTTGGGTCGCTGGGATGTTCTGAAATACCTCGAAATGTCACGAAAAAGTGTGTGTGGGGGGGGGGGGGGAGGGGATTCAATAGCCCCCCCCCCCCCTGCGGTGCGCAGAACAGGCCAATTTGAAATGTGTCTTTAGATGTATTCAATATTATCATATAAATAAACTTGTAAAAGTTTGAAAATCAAACACATCATTTTTTGTATACACATCTCGAGAATATTATCAACTTTGATGAAAACTCGCCAAGTTCGGAACTAAACCCTCATCCACCCACGCCCCCTATAAAGGCGAACAATATTCGCACGATGTTGGGCTCGAACCAACAAACCCAATTTGATTTGTTACATCAAATGTACTCTTTCTCTGTTTTTGTTGTTCCTTTCCTTTAATAAATTTGTATTAACATTTTAAATCCACCCTAAAGTACCTGATTTTTGTGTTGGATTTGCTTCAAAGAATGGACCTCTCAGCTCTGTTTTCTAGGACAAAATTCTTTGTTTTCTGGGGCAAGTTCACTCAAGGGGCAGTTCTGCTTGTGCGCGGAGCAACCCGAAAGAAAAACCTTTATGAGGGGTTGTAGACGGACAAAAAAGGCGTGTTCGTTTAAAGAAACTCTCAACAGGCAAAACTCGTGACAGTTTGTTTGGCCAGAGGGAATTTCCTAACGCTCTCTTTTAAATGAATGGATTGTTGCTGCGTATGGAAATATACACACAATATATAAATGGCCATATCGTTAATAATACCATGTTCCCGTGCTATTCAGACAGCAGGGAGCCCTCATACTTATTCTCAGGTTCACGGTAAATTATGCAAATGAGAATGGCCTTGCCTAGCCTAAATTATTGTTATGGTTGCCATTTTACGTGTGTGTATGGCTGTTGCTATGGTGCTTGATCAATGGACGCCCGTGTGCAAACAGCGTAATATTGACATGAACACTGGGCGATAAGCGGAGCGTGTCGTTCACCGTCGGCCATGGTAATAAGCCATCATCCAACGAAACTGAAGACGATATCCATCGCCATTTTATGGACTCTAGATTGATCCTGTAAAAATAGTATCTGAACGTTTTGTCTTGAACACTTGGAGATCGGAGTGAGCACAGCATTATTGGTCTATTTCTGTGCCAATGTGGGGAATTCTTAAAGGGTAAGTTTTTTTGTTTGTTTTACATCCGATGTTTTTATTTTTTGTTTTCCAGTTGGACTTGAAGATGTTAAGTGCAATTGGATGTCCATGCATGCATTATATCCCGATTTTATATCACAAAAACGCCCCATGCAGGGGCGAAATGGACATGAAATTATCTGCCCAATAAAACATGGCAGTCCTATGAAAGGTTTCAAAACTCACACACTCGTGTGCGATGATATTCATGCTGGTGCTACTCATACATACAATACAAGAGGTGAATTAGATGATAAAACCTGTGACAAGTCAAAGTCCGAGTTCGAGTGAAATGTATACACACAGCATGATGATACTGCATGTTTCATATATTCTATGATGCGATACGGTACACAAAACACACGGATGAGAGAAATAGTCTGTCATGCTAGACGTCCAGTGCAGGAAACTATATTCGTGATAATGTAGGCCTAACGATACACCAAAATATGAAACCAAAATATGGAACTAAACTCACTGCGTCAATGCATCATTCGTATATTGATGAACGACATGTGTGGAAACACAGAGCTGGTGTTTTCTTCAGCTTTATCACAAATAAAAGATCATAATTAGAAAGAGAAAGGACACTAGGTTTAGAGTGGAGTCCTTGTTTAAAACCAAAGGTGAAAACAATTAGACAGAACTTGCTTTAATTGTGAATCACCAACACTCAGTTCTTGGCTCATGAAACCGGGCTAACAATGTATGAACCTGCCAATGAAAACGCGTCCGATGATAGTATGTTGCACGATTGTGTCTAAACTCATGACAGGGCCCCCCCCCCCAAAAAAAAAAAACCAACCCTATATAATAATAATAGTAACGATATTAATAAAATATAAATAAAAAATAACTAAATAGAAATTAAGAAAATTAAAAAGGAAAAGGGAAATGTACGAAGCCATGTGAGTATATATTAATATTATCAGTAATTTAAACTTTACTTAAAAGAGCCTAATATTAGCATGGGAATATACATATATGCAGATTTGTATCATGTCATTATGTACATGTACCTCCCTAAACCTTCCTGACTCGAATTTAAGCTACAAGGTCGAGTGAAGTGAATGAACTTTTGCTTTCATTTTGGAAATGTAGTCAACAGAGATTGCGGAAGTCTCAACGGAAGTTGACACACAATTAAACCAACAGATGACAAAAGCGCATGCGCGGAAGGATTGGAATGCCCCTATCATTTTGAATCGTGATCCGAGACCATCATTTCACGGTACAACCAAAAGAAAGCAAAAGCAAGAAAGATTTCCTGGCTGCAGTGGAAGTTTCACAAGGAAATAACCACACAACAGACACGTGATATTTTGTAAGAGAACGAAAGGTTGATACAAGTACGTGGAACTGCAGAGACCAAAAATGAAATGAAAAGTCCATTTTTTTCGTGAGTTACCTGTGTGATGTATTTTAATGAGATTTTGTTGACAGCGCCATACAAACGTATTACCACAAGCACAATGCTACGGGTGTGCCATGACAGTTCCCATGACTGAAGCCCAAGGTCTAGCATTGGTCACGTGCTTTCCTTTTATTTTGGAAACCAGACTACTATACGCAGTCATTCAAGCGTAATAACCTGACCAAGTATATTTCACTGTACAGATTTCCATAGGGTCTCGTTTGCCGCGTGTGCAAATGTGACCATGACCACGTAGGCCTATACCAATCCAGCACCAGTCCAAAACAGGCACAGATCTATTCAGAATATTTGGGGTTTGACAATCTTTATAACCGCGTAAACAAAGTAGAATGTTTACCTCTCTTTATAAACATTTATAAAACTTCGGATACTAATTCGGGATTTTAATGAAGTGACTTCTACATTGACCCAACGAGACCACCGCTAAGTGTAATTCGTGGAGGAAACAAACTGACTGAACGGGCGGGTTTGCCAAAATGCCAAGTACCGAGGAAGTAGCGGAGCTGATCAAGAAGGACCCCACGGCCGTGGATGCTTACATGCCGCTGGTTCTTGAAGCGATACGAGACGACAAGGACATAGCGGGGAAGTACGGTGATCTGAAAGATGCCGTTGCAGACCAAGTTCTCAAGGAGGTCAAAACCAAGTAAGTATTTAATGAATAGATTTAAGGCAAGCATTGATTTGTGGGGAGTGTTGGCCTAGTGGTTCGGTTTGGGACTCATGATGAGAGTTACTTTATATATTTGCTGAAACAATTAACATTAATTTATGTTTTTTTTATTTTAATAGCTGTATTTTTTATTTAAATATTACTTAATTAACTTGTTTGTAGTTTTAATTTTTTTTTTAAATTTTTGTACAGGGCCCTCAAGGAAAGCAGTTTTTTTAACTGAGGAGGCCACCCTGTTTAAATAAGTCACTGCAAATAAATAAATAAATAAATAAATTAGCTGGGGATCGAGTAACCCGCGATGGATCAGCATCCCTTACAGGGTAAAAGAACTATTCTCAGTCGATTCATGCTAAGGAAACCAAAGATAAATGCTGGCCTGATGGGCCATATTGGCTCGTAACAGACTTTAGCATTGAATTATAGAATGACGGGGCGATGTCTGATGATACACTTAACCGGTACAGAGTGACTACTAACACAATCGATCCGCTAGCTCATTTGAAAACCACAGATCTTTCAAGATCATTTGATAAAATTATGAAAACTTCAAACATTGATTTCGTCTCTAAACGAGTAGTTGTTTTCCATTTTAAACTCTGTCATAGGAATAATAAGTATGAGAAACACATGCTGAAGCTGTGCGAGACGTGTCTGGAGAAACGAGCGACAAAGTACTACCATCTCGCGAACGACATGTTTAAAGAGAAACAGATCATTAACTGGAAGGTAATATTTATTAACAAAACCATATCTTTGCCGATTTTAAGGAGCAACATAGAAAAATAAGTCCCGCAAATCGACAAGACAGCATAAAAAAATCAAGCCATTTTCCCCACCGTCGGTATATATACATTACACACCTCATCAGGAAATTCAATCAGGAAATTCCCGTCTATTACACTAAGGAAATACAGTAGAAAGCTCTGAATAATTACTCAATGCATGGAAGTGCATCATAACTTCCGTATACATGTACATGAGATATGGCCATACACAACACTTCGCATTTCTAGAAGGGAAAGTATTAGTCAGGGATGTTAGGGCGTTATAGGGGCCGTTTGGTTCAGTTTCTTCCAAAAGCACCAAATTTGGCACAGATGTCAGTCATACCATACTATTTCGATTTTTGATGGGCGCCAAGACGGGCGCACCACGGGGCCGCCATATTGGCAAAATCCAATATGGCCGCCAACCGGGTCAGAGGTCAATCGAACTAAACGAGCTAGAATCATAAATAATACCACTTTTCAGGTATTTTCGGGGTCGAGCAATCTGAATCTGATGTTATTTTAACGATTTTAGGCAAGACAGATTGGTAAAATCCAGAATGGCCGCCACATACCGCAGTTAAAAAACTTAAGTAGCTAGAATCATAAGTAATACAACTTTGGAGGGCTTTTCGGTGTCAACGAATCTGAATCTGAGGTAATTTTAATGATTTGATGCCAGACGGATGCCCCAGGGGCCATATTAGAAAAATCCAAAATGGCCGCCAGCCAAGTTAGAGGTCAGTCACAGTTAAAAACTAAACGAGCTACAATTATTAATAATACCATTTTACATGGATTTTCAGGGTCGGAGAATCTTAATCTATTGTTTTATTAAAGATCGTATGTCACATTTTGCCCTAAAGGTCATTAAGGATTGGACTTATCAATAAATATTATTGTTTGAACTATTTTCATTTAAATATTTAGAGATGATGTCTGCAGTGACAAAATGCTATATGCCGCTGTGTGCGTTTAAACGGAGCTGTTCATTTGTAGAGGACCTTGCATATATAGTGTGATTGCATTTCAACCTTCCTTTGCATGAGGCAGCCGCAGCGCATGAGAATGGCACATGTCACTGAAGCATCATTGAGAGTTGGTCCATAGTGATTGCCGTGTACTGGTACCATCTTTGTACCAGCCCCACACGATGAAGTCAGGAATTTCCTGCTGGACCGAGGTGGCCTGTACGTAGTAGCGGTTGCTTTACATGTTCAAACAGCACGGCATGTAGCTGGGATACTTCCGACAAGCTGCTTCCAGTAGTGAAGAAGCGATGTCCGGCCCCAACAGTTGCACCACACCCCTTGCTCTGAATGAAATGGCAAAGCAAGTTGTTTCGCACCATGTTAGGCTTTGGAAGAAGGGTGGTGCCAAGGACTCTGTCAGACCGAGATCGGAGTAGATGCTTTGGACTAGTATGTTACTGTACTTTTCACCATTTCTGAAGCCCACCCAGACCTCCAATAGGCCAAGGATCTCCAAAACAAGCTTGAAATGATCTCGACAGTGATCGCAGTGACTCGACTCTCAATCCTTCACTGGCTCAGTGGGTCGCATATCAAGTTACTCCTGTGCACCCATAAAATGTGGATGCAGCCTTGTCTAGGTATAGGGCGTACATCCCGATTTTGGCATGGGGCTTTGCCGACTCGTTAGCTAGCACTGAGTTAATTGTATCCCAACCAGGTGAGGATGTCACCATCTGCAAACTTGTTATGATGTGTCGAAGAAGTCAAGCTTGATGAGCCCGCCTCACTGCAGGGTTCTCATGCGAGAAATGGATATTTACGGTTTGGGCATATCACTGGAACTCACCAAGTGAGAGGTTGCCCTGAGCCTTGGTTATCTGTGATCAACATCTTGGGTGGTGAAGACAATGAAACGACCGTTGGTTGATAGCTCCACCCATCCTCGGCATGGCGGGCACACACCACACGCGCCTATACATCCTTAAAATAACTAGGGACAATTTTCTCGCTCCAATCTAAGATTGTTTCTGTGGTATGCGTAGAAATGTCAAACTGTCCGACATGTGCAGCTAATGGGAACAGGTTTTTTTATGGAATGATGCACCAGAAACACCAGGTATGACCGGAATGATCTCGAGTGGTAAACTTGGCATCAAATAATTAAAATAACATCAGAATCAGACATTTGGACCCCCCCCCCAAAAAAAACCCCGTTGCATTGTTTTAACTGCGGGTACCTCCAACCTGGGTGGCGGCAATTTTTTTTCAAAAATGGCGGCTCATAGAGCATCTGCCTTGCCTCGAATCATTAAAATGACATCATATTTAGATTCTGTGACCCCGAAAACCCATAAAAGGTGTTATTATTTAAGATTTTAGCTCGTTATTTTCTTAACTGTGATATATGTGGCGGCCATTTTGGATTTTGCCAATATGGCGGTCCCTTGGGGCATCTGTCTAGCCTCAAATCGTTAAAATAACATCAGATTCAGATTGCTCGACCCCGAAAATACCTGAAAAGTGGTATTATTTATGATTCTAGCTCATTTAGTTCAATTGACCTCTGACCCGATTGGCGGCCATATTGGATTTTGCCAATATGGCGGCCCCGCGGGGCGCCCGTCTTGGCGCCCGTCAAAAATCGAAATAGTATGGTATGACTGACATCTGTACCAAATTTCGTGCTTTTGGAAGAATGTGAACCAAAATATCCCTAAGACCCCCGACTATATACATCCTAAAAACAGAAGAAAGGGGAAATATACATCCTAAAAAAAAGTCAAATAGAGGACGAACCGCCGGCTGCGCCCCGTCCCCCTGGATCCGCTACTGGTGGTTGAGTTACTAAAATCATACTTGAAGTTTTTACACAAGTGGGAATTATATTTTTATGCAGACACGATGTTCGGGTAATTACTGCGTTACTCTAAAGAAAAAAAATCCAAAGTAAGCTATTCATATCAGCAACTAAACATTGTGTCTCAAAAGCCATTAAACACTTTTGGAACTTATACCTCTAATGTTGTTTATGCTTCAGCAACATATCGCCTTGGCTGAAAAGTTGATTAAAACCTTCGAGGTTCCCGTGGCGTTAGTGAGAAACAAGAACGATGATTGGTGGGGAGAGGAACGCGCAGCAAGCGACACAGAGATGGGCGGGGCTCTGAACGACTGCATCGAAGCCATGATGGAAGGATTTGAGTAAGTGAAGAGTAACAAATGATAAAGACCTGTTGCTGAAACCACAACTGAAACACAGGACATATTTAAACCTTTTTTAGGTTGGTGCGGTAATCAGTAATGTTTTCTTGTGGCATTAGATTGATAGCTTTATAGTGGTTTCATTTTGCACACCAAAAGTACTCTTTGAAGTGATTCCACAATTAAATGTGAGTTAATTCTTTCGGTCGATATCTCAATCAACAATTAAAAACGTTTGTAATGCTAAAAAGGACAAAATATTGAAAAGAAATCATATTTTTGTAATTTATACAAGGGTATAACAAACCTACAGCGGGAGCACAAATGAAAACAGAAGGCTAAATTGACTGAATCGATTGTGATTCTTTTCCGTTGGAAAAAAATAGTAGGCAACAGGGAAATATATCAAACAGAATTTTCAAGCAGCGCAGATTTACAGACTTTCAATTCGTTTCGATACACAGAATGTCTCGAATTGGTTTCTTTACAGCCGAGACAAAATCTTGAAGAAAGTGAGCAAGTGTATGGTGGAGGTTCTGGTGAAACTGAGCAAGATGCCCAACGAGCTTCAGATTGTTGCAGGACACGCCTTCTCTTCGAGTAGCTGGCACCCACTCAGCTGGGACGTAAGAGCGGATTTTGTTTTCTTCTCAAAATTAGCAAACCATAGGGCCTATACTCTTTTTATGACATTGATTTCTTAAGTACTTGGTATGCCACCCGTGACGTCACTCCTGTCGTTAATGACAGGCATATGGCCAAACCCAACAACTTTACATTCTTTTCCGTTGACTTGGAAAATAATGCGAAATACTTCACCCATAAAACCTCAAACGACCCAACGAGCCATTTTTAAGTCAGTGAATCTGAGAAAGCACTCAGTGCATAGAGGGCCTGTCACATTACATGCGATCTCATAGGAGACCTTACGGGGACCAAAAATATTTCATAAATTTAACAATCGCAGCGAGGACGCAAGAAAATGACAACTTTCTGTCTCAAAGAAGCTGCAAGCTACGCTCATACTGTGCTCTTCCCGCGCTTACGATGCGCTCAACTCGCTCTCTTTGCGCCCCTGTCAAGCTCAATTACTCGATCTAGTCGCTGCCGCTCCGCTGTCACTGCGTTCACACTACGCTCTGCTCGCTGTTGATACGTCCTAGTAGCTAGCGTCGCGCTCTCTATTCGACCAAAATACACTCATGTGACGTCACTTGCGCTGTATAAATACCACGACAAAACGGTCAATACACAGTCCAGTTTCAAAATTATTCTACAAGTTCATCGCAGTCGAGTTACTTTCTCATGGAGACTACATCGACTGCCTTGCGCCTGTAGGCTTCCTCAATGCCACTTCAATGTCGCACGATTCACGCTCGCACAGCGCCCGAGATGCGTCATTACGGCGTCCTGGCCAGGGCGCAGAGGTGTTGCGATTTTTTGAGCATGTTCAAAGGACTTGGCGCTCATCGGAGATCATTAAGACCCTCTGGCGCCCATCTGGCGACCTATGTAGTTGTCGCTGCGATGTAGTAGTTGTTTTTGCGCCCCAGCTATTTTTCAAGGACGCAGTGAGAGCGCATATAAGATCGCAGACAGTGTGACAGGGCCTTAACTTAACTACGCACCCATATCTGTCAAATAAACAGTAGCTTGAGTAGGGTTTCATTTGCAGGGCCTCATCTTTTGGAGGGGACACACAATGGGTTTGGTCAAAGTTTCAAAGAATTGGGCTACAAAGCTATTTTGCCTTTACAAAATTCTCAGTGAGTGGGGAGACAAGGAGCCGTGCCCCTTATATCATGACCCCATACATAGCCACAGCCAACACACACATAGTCCATGACAGGTCATTGGTTTCCACATTGGGACCACTGTTGCTTGACCAACTTGCTGTCATCTAACAGACTAAGTAACTGACTGACTGTCTGACTGTCTCCCCGACTGACTCCCCGAGTAAATACATAAGGTCCTAAATTTAGACTGTCGGGTCCAGCTCGTCTATATCAAAATAATCAAAGCCTAGTCATGTCAGAAACTGTTATGATTTTTGCCACCGTGGCACCTACCTCTGGACAGGCAACTACAGTCAGTACGTTATGAAATGAAATAGCCAGGAATTACCCAGAAATATGTTTTTCTTTCAGGGAACCGAGAAGATGCTGCCGGAACTGTACACCAATCTGTACGAATGGATGACATCAGGCAACGTGGATCTCGAGTCTCAATCTGACGATAAGTCTCGGTTCATCGATGGCATACTATCATCATCTCTCGAGGGAGCTGGGTAATTTGACACCTTAAGCCCGACTGCCTCGCTCTGTTTTACGGCCAGACAGGCGATGCTCCCCTAAACGCTTAAAAGTGATGTAGTGATTTTGCCACCGATTCTGATTCCAAAATCATGGAACCAAATCGTAGACGAGCTCATACCTGTTCGAAAGCACGTTCCTTATTTGTTGTTATGCATCTATCGGAAAAAAACACACCATAATTTGTAGCTTTGCGTAGCTTCAAAAAAACAAAATTAAAATAATTAAAAATATTCAATGTTGAGTAAACATGTTTAATATCATTACTCTATACTGGGTACCTGCTCACTGGCAGAATCAATTTTATTTTCATTGTATCGATTTTAATTGTAAAACAGCATGCCTACTTTGAGCTTCTTCGAATTTGTATATTCGACAAAGCATCACTCTTTATACTTATCATTTTATTAATATCCGCAGGTCACCATCAAAATATGCAAAGGAAATCTACAAGATTTACCAATATGTACTGACACAGGATTTAGACGGCCAACCATACTCAGGATACGGGTTGTTAGCGCTAACCATTAATTCCGGATTTGTAACAAAGGTAAATTTGACCATCGTCCTTCCTCTATGAGTTGAAAATGACTAATAATTCCACATGTTGAAAAAGATGAAATTAAAAAATCAACCTGATTTGTTTTACCAATTTTTGTAAAGATTATAGTAAAACAATTTATCACTGCTGAAATGTACAATGCTGGAAATGTTCAAGCTGCATCATTACCCATATCCATTCTGATCCCACCGCTGACACCAATTGTCAACAAGTTTCCGTTTTCAGTCAATTTGCCGCAATTCAGAACGAATCTTATAATTTTCAAACTCCATTAATAGAATTGTGGCAACCAGCGACTTATCAGAGACTTCGTGCCTGGGGTGGTCAAGATGCTCAAATGTGACAACGAGCAGCTGATGATGACCGCTTCAGCCTGCATCACAAGCTTCTACCAGCAGGTTGACCTGCTGGCCCCGTGCGCAGATGACGTCATGGAAGCCTTTCTTGACGGGAAAAGTGACCTGTTGGGCCGTAAGTTGTGTTCTATTGTCTATCTACAGTTTTGTCGTCAGGTCCATTACAAGTCATGTCATAGGTCAACTCACAAGTCCGGTCGCCAGTAGTAGAGGAGAATGAACAATACAAGGAATGCTTTTATGGTCACAGTATATTTGAATAGCTAATTACTTGGACTGGGTGACTTGTGATGGACTTGTGGGCATTTTGTGAAGGATCGACTACAACCCTTCCTTACGAACTGTTGTACTCATTAAATTGATGGCACAATACAAATTTGAGTGACCATCATGTTATTTACTGTATTCGTATCTAGTGTGTCTGAAGCCCTTGTATGGAGTTAGCCCGGAGAAGATACTGAGTAGATTTGATCAGCTTGCTGAGGCAATGGAAGACATGAATCAGACCAACAAGACATACATCTACATGCTGTGGGACGACGTAGCCAAAGACAACGCAAAGGTAATTAGAAAGCTTTCATTACATTTTCCTTTATAAAACTAGATGCTAGACTTTCAGAGAATAAAAATAAACATGCATGGTAGTTCTTTCTGAAGGAATGAAAACTCGAATTACGAATGAATTAAGTCTGTTTATCCACAAAACAATATCTTCTTGAAATGAACAAAGACTTCTGTAGTGTTTTGCAGATCTGGTTTCCTGCCAGTTATTTGAAGCGGACAAGTTTGGTCTTGGTAGCTTTCCAATGATTTTCTGCAAATACGGCGGACTGCATAACTGCAGCTAAATTATGCAACAGACTTAAGGAAATAACAAAGTATCTTTTCATCATAAATTGAGGATGCCTATTTCATAAAATTAGTAAATAACATTCACGGGGGCAGATACAGATTTTTTTGCGGGGGGGGGGTTCATGCCTGTCAGATTTGTTCTTTCCGATTGTTTCGGACAGGCGGACATAGGTATTTAAAATGTACTACAATTGTCTTAATTTTTGTGGTGGTGTCTGAGCTTGGTTGGATGGAGGGGGAGGGTTCGAATCCCTCTCCCTGGATCCGCGCCTGATTAAAATGGTAAAATGATTGAATTTGTTGATTAGTAAAAGAAAGCAGGCTAAAAAAAAAGTGCATTCATGTGCAAGACATTACATACACCAATGAAGTTTCGATAAATATTTACTCTGAAGATTTAGAAAAAATGACTGCAGAAACTGTTTTTGTCACATCATTAAAACCTCAATAGTGAATTCGATTTTCAATTTTCCACTCAGTTACTCGTGCCTCACTTGGACCTGATGATGGATGACGTCACAAACGCTCAAATCTGCCACCAAGTGGTCTTGATCCTGGGAACCATGTCGGTCAAGTTCCCGGGTAAGTTTGTAGACAAGATCGACAAGCTGATGAGGGTCGCGAAGCAGACACCGTACACCATCCACGCGGTGTCGAAGATTGTGGCGAGTGTCGGTCAGATAAACGAGGTAAGACATGTATTTATTGTTGTCCTCAAGTGTCACTTTAAATAGGTCAAAAGTATACCAAACTTCACCGTATACAGAGAACGAAACAACGTATTTCAAAAGTCAATGGATGCATTGATAACCAGTTGCAAAGAGATGTGCACAGAGATATAGATTGCTTGATTAAACGTACACAAATGAAAAGAGGTGTTCCCAAGTCCACACAAGTAAAAAAATCAATCTCAAGCCATCCAAAGTCAAGTAAAGTGACATGTCAGTCAAGTGACACAGGTATCCTTTTTTCATTATTCATACCCTTTGACGATGCCACCTGTGATACGATAAGTGATTGACTTGTTGTTTGAACCAAGATGGAATTTTCATACAAAATATTATCTGCCGATACTCTCACACTCTAAAACGTGCCGGGTGGGATTTGACCTGGATTCCTGGTCCTCTTTGCCCGGATAGTTTTCAGGGTCAAAATGACACTCTTATTTTAATGACACTCTTCAGTGTCAAAATGACAATTTTGCCAAGGTTTTCGGCTCAAATATTTGACCTTTTGACCCCCAACAAACTGTCATTTTGACCCGCAAAAGTATTAGGTCAAATCAGACCCTGTAACTAAACTCTTTTTTAATAACCCCATGAACTGGTGTCCTAATGCAGAAACAAGCCGAACGTTGCATGAAAATTCTGGTCGATAAACTGAAGACCATCGAGGACACGTGGCTCAGTGTCATCATGATGGATATGAAGCGGATCGGTCGCAAGCACGTGGAAGTGTTGAAAAAGTACCGGGCCGACATCGAGCCGTTCATGAAGAGTCAGGCCATGGGTGTACCCGACATGGTGCAGAGCTTGATTGATTTCATGGAGGGACGCAGGTGAGATTATTCGGGAAAGTAGGCAAACTGGTTACACCTCCATGTTCCGACACCCCTATGTTGCGACATCCCTACGTTCCGACTGCTCATATTCCTATTCCTATACCCCAACCCTAACCGGGAGTAACACAATCTTGTGTTGTTGGAACATGGAGGTGACGGAACATAGAACAGTCACTGTAGAGAGATGCCATTCAGGATCAAGAGGGTTGGATAAAGAAAACAGGAAAAACAACTTGAAATCGAGTTCATAACATGAAGATGTGAAGATGTGTGCAACAGGACTTCTTCAAGAAGCAACAACTGTTATTGACAAAATAAATTACTTACATGAAAACAGATTAATTTCAATCTTACCACCCTGTGTTATTGCATGATGTAAAGTTTCAAACCATTTGGTGTTCTTGTTTTACTTTATAATGGTGAATTCTTGTCGCATGTTGTCATTCCGGCCTCAACAAACTAATTGAACAACTTCGAAGAAGCTAGTCGACATGATTTTGACATTAGTAAAATTAAAACTTAACCAGTTGGACCAAGATAGACATATCCAACTTAGTCTCTGTTACTGTCATTCCAAATCTTTGAAGACACACCCCTAATCTCAAACACATCTCCAGCAAAACATATTTCTTGTGAATAGTAGCGTTCTCTCATAGTTATCATTCATCATCATCATCATTGGACGGCCGGAGCCGAGGTGGATGCAACCAAACTCTTCCAGACTATCTTGTCCGTCATGGCCGTGGTGATGTCATCAACGTGCTGACTTACATAATTGCATACTTAGTTGAGGGGTCTCCTCTCTCTGTTGGGGCAAGGCAATCTCCAGCAGATCACGTCGGAGATAACTTGCTCTTTGGCTCTATAGCAGTGGCCGGCAAGGCGGGCTCTGCGTTGTGCTATTGTAGTTGAGAATTATCATTCCCAATACCACGAAGAAAACACTTTATTGAAAAGCACTGAATTCCAATTAAGGCTGATATTATTTCTTACTCAATATACGGAAGACATTTTTCTACTGCTTATGGCCAATGCACTTTGATATTTTTTGTGGTTCTTCAAAAATTATTGGCACAATGTCCCATCCCATTTTTTAGTAATTTCCACGGTTTACTGAACAAAAATGTGAAATCTAGACTTCTCCATATTTCCTTAGCCTGGAAGCGCTCGCGGATGACGTGGAAGACGTGAAGGAGGACGTCCAGAACCTCGACGACCGAGTGACTGAAACGGAGGAGAATGTCGACCGTCTCGACAAGACGGTGACTGAGCAGGGCCAGGAGATCGACAACGTCAAGAATGAGGTGACGGAGCAGGGACAACGACTGGGCGACCTGGAGGAGCTGGTTGATGATACCATCGTGAGGGTGGACGAAATAGACCGCAAAGTAAGTACAAAAAGGTGGTGTGCCAAGCAGTTTAGAGCCAACTCACTCCGTAAAATCATAATTATGTAAAATGTAATTGAACACAGTCGTATAAATCATGATCCATTCAAGAACAATGTGAGACAGTTCGAGGATGGGCGGTATTGGAGGCACGCCCATATAGAATGTGACTGGCATATACTCGAGTTACCGTGCATTCATGTGTCTCACAACTTGGTGTTTGATTGCGTCATTCTCAATCTGCCAGACCATTACCAATGCTCCAAAGTGGTCTCGGGACATCGCCAACCTCCTGAACCCCGAGCACGAGCACGACTGGCGTTTCCTGGCCATTCGCCTGGGCTTCACCGGCGAGGATGTCCGTAACTGGGCCCTGTCTCCGGACCCTACCATGGCCATCCTGGCCGAGTGGTACACTATTCATAAGAGTAGTGAGGCGACTTTTGCCATCTTGACGGCGCTGCAGGACATGGGGAGAGACGATGCTGCGATCATCGTGGAGGAAGCGCTACAAGCCGCCGGTACCTTCACTTTCAATTTTTAAACTCCTAATGCCAACAACGACTTGGAACCATTTTAATGAACCATTTAGTTTTCCCCAGTGTAAATCACAATGTAGCACATTTTATGTCTTACGTTAATTGCGCAAGCCACGTACGACTGAACACGGCATTAAATTGATTATTGCCAGCTATATGGAGTGTTTGATTGCTGCATTGTGCCTATTATAATGAATAATGCAATCATATAAAAGGCATCAAACTATACACAGTTCATTTGATTAGCTTGTGACTTGACTTATGACTGGATGACTAGTGATTGATTTGCGATGAATTGTGATGACTTGTGACGAATTATGATCACTTGTTTAACCTGGGTCCAACTTACGGAGACACTTAGGGGCCTCGTTTTGTGGAGGGGACACTCAGTGACATTTTTAACCAAAAAAAATAAACAAACTAATGTTGCCCTCTCTAAATTCTCAGCGGGGGGTGGGGGGGGGGGCTATAGGGGGAACGGGCCTCGAACGGAAGGGGGGGGGGGCACGTTCCCCTGTCCTCGGTAGATGTTACGCCACTGTTCGTGATGACTTGTGAAGAATTATGATTGACAAAATGATGACTGGTTGATATTCTGTCATACCACGCCTGTAGATAAAGTAGTTCCTAAGGCTGCCCCTGACATTTCCGAGAAGCCTCCGCGTGTTTTCATCAGCTACCAGTGGGACCATCAGCCCGAGGTCAAGGTCATCAAGGAGCATCTGGAGAAGGCAGGCTTCAACTGTTGGCTGGACATTGGTCAGATGGGAGGCGGGGACAGCCTGTTCGCCAAGATCAATGAGGGGATGAGGGCGGCCAAGGTGGTGCTGTGCATGTGCACCGAGAAGTACTCCAAGTCTGAAAACTGCAACAAGGAGGTAGGTCCTCACATGCGAGAAAATAATCACATGAGATTAGAAAGGACCTCACCGTCGAAGGGAGTCATCGTTACATTTTCTTGGAAGGGAAACAGCCACACTGGTTTTCTCATTTACTTCCAGAAAGTTGGTGGAAAGATCGCACCGTTTGCTTAAGTTTGCATAAACAACACACAGAAGAACTCATTGAAAGGACGTGAATTGTTCTTGAGATGCTTTTTCCAACCTAAACACCTCTGAATGCAAATGTATAATTTTCCATAATCAGGTGAATTTGGCCAACCTGTTGAACAAGCCCATCATACCCGTACTGATCGAGAAGATAGACTGGCCTCCATCCGGCTCCATGAGCATGCTGTTCGCCCAGCTGCTGTACATTCAGTTCTTCACTGACAAGGAGTACGTGAGAGGGGAGAAGTTCTGGGAGGATGCCAAGTTTGCTGAGTTGCTGGGCCAGATAAGTTATCACGTGGCCCCCGACGAGGAAATGATTACTGATGGTAAGTAGATGTTCATTCGGTGTTAGTAAAATTATTTCGTCAATGAGAAGTAGAATGAATGTCTGAGTATCGCTTTGAAACCATGTAATGTAAACGATTAACAAATCCTGTAGGCCTCTGTACTGAACTCAGCCAGTCACTGCATCGTTGATAATAACCATGTGTTTTGTATAAACGGGGTCAAGTTGTATTTATTGTTCAGTTATTGAAGACTTGAACAAAATATGGAATCGAAAACTTCAAAAATGAAAAATCCGTACGATATCAAAACAAACTCAGGGTGACAGGAAGTAAAAACTACTTTATTGAGAGTTAATCTAGACTAATAGCAGGACTGCTTGTTGATAGTTTATTTTTATCGGCATTTGTATCTTTTCCAACGTTAATTTCAATTTGCTTCTGATTGAAACCAAGACATAGGATCACTGACTATATTCCTTAGGATCGGTTTGTTTTCGAGAAGGGTAAAGTTTTCTATGACGACATGGATAATTATGCGTTCTGTTAATCACAACATATGTTCTTTTGTCATTTCAGAATATCGTAACTGGGTCCCACAGATTGATGATCTGCCGAAAGTTGTCAAGAAAGCGAACGAGAAGAAGTCCACAGACGACAACACAAAGTCTGAAAAGGCAACAGATCAGGTACAGATGCATTATTTCTTTGTTTGACACAACAAACCAAAATTATTATTATTAATTGGCGGCAAAATGAAATTAATAATGAAAAATAATTTAAAATATATCGATTACCATGCTGTAGCACGATGCTATCATTTCTCAGGATTTTGTATCTGAAACAAGATTTAAGTCCTCTCTTGATGGCAGTGTTTAGTCGAGTCAATGACAAGTTATCACAAGTCCATTACAAGACTTAAGTCAAGTCACAAGCTATTCAAATGAACTGCAACACTAGTGTTCTTCTGTGAATGTTCATCCCCTGTTACTTGTGACTGGACTTATGAAAGGACTTGTGATTTGTGACCAGACTTGTGATGGATTCGTCATGGACTCGACTTATCGGTGCAGTTCATTGAACATTCTTTAAACTCTTTTTTCTGTGTCTGATCAGGCCCAAGAGATCATTCCCCAAGTGTTCATCTCGTACCAATGGGACAAGCAGACGGAGATCAAGACGCTGTACTCCAGACTGACTTCGCTCGGGTTCAGTTGCTGGCTGGATATCATGCAAATGGGAGGCGGTGACCCGCTCTACTCCAAGATTGACAAAGGCATTAGAAATGCCAAGGTGAGTGACTGGAAGACTCACGGGAATTGTCATCCTTGTAGGTTTGGCGCTACAACTCATCAGATAACTTATCTGATCGGATTTTAATTTATGTACTTTGCTTTGTTCCTTTAAAATACAAACAAATCTGATATAAAAGGGTCATATTTTTCGTTCCAATAATTGGATGTATATGTTATACAGGAATATCCATGAAGTGTTTACCAAAAGGGACGACAAAATCTTTCTGATAGAAATAGAATGCTTCTCTAAATTTTCAATTTGTTTCTTGTCGAAGGTTGTGGTCTCCATTGTGACCCCCAAGTACGCCTTGTCTGCCAACTGCCGTCGCGAGGTGAGCCTTACAGATGCTCTCCGTAAACCCATCATCCCGCTCCTAATGCAGCGGATGACGTGGCCCCCTGAGGGCCCAATGAGTATGCCCTTTGCCCAGCTCCTCTATATCGATTGTACCGGTGAGTCCACCCAGAAAGAGTTCAGGGATGCCAAATTTGACGAGCTGGTGCAAAAGCTTAAAGAGCACGCAACTGTCGAGGATGCGGTATTCCAAAGTGCGTCACCTAGCGACACTGAGAAACCTGAGATAGAGGAGGCAAAACAAGTAGAAGAGAAGAGTCCGAGTCCGCCAGCTGCTGAAAATACCAAAACACCGGAAGCAGAGGAGAAAGAGGAGCCTGCTCAACAGAACGAACCGCCAAAAGAAGATGCCATAGAAGATCAAAAGCTGCAACCAATCAGCACCGAGGACCCAGCAAAGTTCGCAGGGTCCACGGTACATCAACAGACCCAACCACCAAAAGAAGATACTGAGGAAGATCAAAAGCTGGAACCAATGAGCACCGAGGACCCAGCAAAGTTTGCAGGGTCCACGGTACCAGAAGCGAGACCTCAGTCAGAGATGGGTCCTAAGCATGTCGAGGTTATCCAGCCGGAACGGAGTGCCTCTGCCCCGAAGGAAAGAGCAAGACCTGATTCGCCAAAGAAGAAAAAGAAATCATCCGTGTGTGCAATACTTTAGATTAAACAGTTTTTGCGTACACATGTACGTTATAAGAAATACTATCACAATATAATACAAATATTTAAATGAACATTATATGTTTTGCCCTCACCGACGCATAAACACTGTGTACTCAGTGTTATGCCTCTCGAGTGAAAGTTGGAAATTTCACTCGAGCGGGACTCGAACCCACGACCTCCTGCTTTTTAGTGCAGACGTCTTACCACTCGAGCAGCGAACTCCGGGATCGGTTGGCTGTTATGAATAATTAAATGCGGTACCCGCTGCTATGTACATCAGATTCCGATCCCGTAAGCTCGGTGGTCGAGTGGTAAGATGTCTGCACTAGAAAGCGGGAGGTCATTGGTTCGAGTCCCACCCAAGAATTTTTTTTCCAACATGCACTCGGGAGGCACACTGAGTATACAGTGTTTATACGTCGGTGAAGGGCAAAGCCTAATATTGATTTACATCACCCCAACGCAAAAAAGTCCATCTTATGAAACATATTTAAGTTGACATAAGTTGTATTTTAGTTGTTTTTATCCCGTTTTGTCATAATGATGCAAGTCTAGGGATTAATTAGTTTTGTAGGGAAATGCTACGATCTAAAACCTATATCTATGTGTTTATCTTAATTTTCAATTACTTTAACGCTAAAAAGCCAGAGCACATAATAGTTTCTAGGCATTAATATATAAAACATCATCATTGTTTTGTTGTACTTCGGGTGTGCATTACTGTGCAAGGACTGACACATCATAAATTTAGTTTGAACATCAATGTTTTATCTATTTATATAAAGGATAAAATACAAATGTATAGACTTGAAAAGTTGTATGCACTCTTAAAATATCGATGACACGTGGACACACAGAGTATTAACGCTCATTTGTGTTGGCGTGTCAGTGGACTTTATGTTTTACATTTCTTTTTCTTCAGCTTTTGTCTTTTTAAAATTAATCAAAACTTTTGTAGCTTTTACACGACAGAAATTATAGGGAAGTCCTCACTATTAAGATCTCACCTAAATTAACTCAGACCGTTTAATTTAATGTCACCTTAGTTTTAATGTTAACCGTTTAAAATTTTGCGAAAAAAACTACACTGACGTAACAGGTGAATACTATAAGACACAATAAATACATTAAATTTTCCAATCCTTTCCGGTCCAATGTTGGCGAAAAGCCAACATAGAGGGCTGCTTGATAGCTCAGTAGAGCGACGGATTGGTAGAATCCGCAGTTTGCTGGTTCAGACCCTGCTCCAGTCAATTTCTTTGTTCAACTTTAATATTATTTCAATAAATGAAAAGTACGAACTCAATGCACTGCTTTTCCGTCTCACCAGCTGTGAAACAAAGAAACCGTGATGGCATCGACGACTGTTGTATGCTGCTGTTGGAGCCTGAGTTTCCACGAAAACAGATGTTCTGTGTGTACTCGAGGTTCCTTGACTTCTAAAGACCAATTATTGTACATCTTCTCATTCCGCTTCAAATATCGGATACAAAAAGCTAACTAATTAGTTGCTTCAAAAGAAAAACACTGAAAGTTAGGTACACGGTATAAACAAAAGCATCCATCCATGCACTTAAGCGTTAAATTAGAGCATTATTTATTTAGTTTTTAACAATTTCTGACGTAAACACAAATCCACAATTTCAAGTTCAGGGTTTTAAGGAATAACTCCCTGCAACCAGGAGATCACGTGGACCGATAAATTGTGATGCCTATACACCAAAATGAAGCAACATAAATATGGTTCAAATTCAAATTGAAATTCAAATTCAATTTCAAAATCTTTATTATATCCCACTGGGGTAATTTAAAATGCTCGCGTACAATAACAACATCGACACATTATAAAACACAGTTACATATACAATTGCACGAACAATCAAAACGAACAATCAAAATGATTAAAATTTTCTTATATATTACAACATTAACGTTGGAACATAATATTGTGATGTTTTAACACACGAGGAATGGAGGAGGATGGGTGTCGGTTTGTCGCAGCATATATAAAACGTACCTGTGAAGCTTATACACAAATTACCCGTGAAACTGATGTCAAATTTTGAATATTAAGATGTCGCATGCTCAGGATTTTCGAGTGACAGTTTGTTTGGTTGTGACATTGCTAGTAAGTTTGATGTGCTGTTTTTCCCAAAAAACTTATTCACACTACGGACTAAACCATAGATACGATATTTAAAACATGTTCAACTTATTGCTCTAATCATTTTATTATATTTATGAATCTGAGCAAGATATAATATTATAAAATTTGAGCTTGCTGTCTATATTTTTGTGCGGATGTATATGTACGGATAAATTGTATTGGTAACTGTATCACGGGGAATTTCGCAATATATTTTTTGTTACTGTGGCTCAGGAACACTGAGTTACTTCGACGATATCCTTTATTTTCATACATTTCCTGACTAACATAGCAGCAAGTAAAACAAAATATAACATAATACTAATAAAATGATATAATTTTAATACAGTATCTTTTCATGAAACAGGCTCGTCACTTCTTCTTGACTAAACTGTATACGTATATACTTAAACTTTATTATAATTATATAATAAACAATATGAGAGACAATTTATAAATAAAAGTGCAGGGAACTTTTAAAATATATGCATTAATTGAATAAGTGCACTTAATGGTCCAACGTTAAGTAAATGATAAGCCTATTATGGGGATAACATAATAATAACCAAGTAATAGATTTAGTTTTTTATTCACCTCAGTGTTTTGTTAGCTTACAGAATAAAATACGAGTGGCTTAAAACTTCAAGAAATCTTGCGGAACATGAAATCATTTTTTTAAAGCGATTACTCTGTCTCCTCAAATGTTCACATGCGGTTCCGCATCTTATCTTGCGGCATAACGAAGGCTGACTTGCGTTTTGCGTCCCCATCTTTATTCACCTGCCAGTAACCAGCGGCTAAATCTAGTGCAGAAAACCATCTGGCACCGGCAAGTGCATCTAATGTGTCATCGATCCTGGGCACTGGGTAGGCATCTTTGACGGTCTCAGCAATGAGCCTCCTATAGTCCACATATAAGCGTTGGGTACCGTCTTTTTTTCGCAATAAAACCACATTTGATGCCAAGGGGCTATCTGATGGCTGAATGATGCTTCTCGCAAGTAATTCGCTCACCTGTTTGTCAATCTCTTTTTGTCTGGCTAGCAATCGCGTCGGAAGACGGAAAAGGCCTCGCGCGAGGCGGTCTTTACCGGTTTCTGAAAATTTGGGTGCGCCATTGCCGTAAATTCACTGATAGACTTGCCCAGTTTCAGTGTATGGTCTACGTCGGACCTTGTCATCTACTTCTCAACTCCATTTAGAAGTTCTCCGCCTAATTCTGCCCAGGTCCAAACCTGGCATTTGTCTTCCTTTTGCCATACTCCTTGCGATTAAGGAATGCAGCTGCCTCCTCATCCGTCTTCGCGTTGGCGATTTTACAAGCTTCAAAGTGTTCCATGGAATTTTTCCACGGTTCTTTCCCTTTGAATCGGACTGATACAATCCGGGGTCGTCCAACGCGCTAGCGCCCTCTATAGCTAAACATTGCTTCGTGACTTGCGCCTGCTTGCGCTCGTACCACAGTGACCGTTTTGGCCGATTTTCGGCTAACTTTGACAGGTTTTTTTGTTAAAAAACGAGTTTGATAGAAAATTTGACAGAATGGATTTTTTGGGCAGATTTCTGGCAGAATTCTGCAAAAATGGTTATTTGACAGAAAAACGTTTGTTTTAAAAAGCTTTAATCTTTTCAAACAAAGCCATGGGACCCAAGTTGGCTCACTGGGAACCGGACTACGTCGTGACGCAAATTAACCGCATTTTGCCTGAAATTTACGCAATTTAATTACATGTGACTAAAAATTAATTACAATGTAATTTGAACCTTAATTAATGCAACACTACAACATCTGCATGTTATTTTAAGTGTTTACAGTGTATTTCGAGTAATTCTGGGGAATTTGGCAGATTTTTGATAAATCAGACAGATTTTGAAGTGCATTTAGCAGAATTTAGCCATGACCGAGACCTTACGGTCACCCTGGCTCGTACGTACCGCACAATAAATCTCGATTAACGCTGAGCGATAAGCGGAGCGTGGCGTAAGCAGGAGGCCATGGTAATAAGCCATCTTTAAACTAGACGATATTTTCATCGCCATTTTATAGACTATCCTGGGGAAAAGTATCTGAATGTTTCGTCATTGAACACTTAGAGATCAGAGTGAGTTCAACAGACATATTATTGGCCTATTTCTGTGCCAATGTGGGCAATTCTTAAAGCGTAAGTTGTTTAGTTTTCTTTTGTATTCCAGTTGGACTTTAAGGTGTTATATGCCATGTATGATGTCCATGCACCGAATATATCCCACTGTTTATATCACAAAAAGGCCTCATCTGGGATAGATATGAACATATAGAGGCCTAATAATAATATTGTCGAATAAAATCTATGAAAGTCGTATATATGCAAGGTTTGAAACTGCACACACACCTGTGTTCAATGGTATATCTGTGCTGGTGCTACTCATACACCGTGAAATGATAATAAACCTCCATGAAGTCAAAGTCCGAAGTCCAGATAGCTAGGCATGTACGGACGGACATGCTGACGTTGCATGTTTTCATATATTCAAAGATATGATACAGTAAGTAATTAAAACACATCGGTGGGAGGAATAGTGTGTCGCAGTAATGTTTATACATTACAAGATGATTGAAACCATTCGTGATAATAACGATGCACCGAATGCCAAACGGAAAGAAAAATATGAAACTAAACTCACCGCTTAAATGCATCAATTGTATATTGATGAAGGACATGTGTTGAAACAAAGAGCTGGTGTTTTTCCTTCAGCCTTATCTCAAATGAAACAAAATATCATAATTAGAAAGAGAAAAGACTCTAGGCTTTTATTCAAAGTCCTTAAACCGAAGGTGAACACAATTAGATAGAACGTGCTAAATGCCGTGAATCACCAACGATCACAGTCCTTAGCTGATGAAACCGAACTTACAATGAATAACACTGCTAGCCGCGTCTGATGATATTATGCTGCACGATTGAATGCAAACTCATAACAGTGGTGCCTTGACATGACCCCCCCCCTCCCCCACAAAAATAATAATAATTATATTAATGAAAACTAACTAAATAAATAACTTAACAATGTACAATGTACATGTACATTCCCAAACCTCCCTAACTTGAATATTAAGCCACTAGGCCGAGGGAAGTGCATGACCTTTTGCTTTCATTTCGGAAATGTAGTCAACAGAGATTTCGGAAGTCTCAACGGAAGTCGACACACAATTAAACCAACAGATGACAAAAGCGCATGCGCGGAAGAATTGGAATTCCCATATCATTTTGAATCGCGATCCGAGACCATCCCTTCACGTTCATGGTACAAAAGAAAGAAGGAAAGCAATAGCAAGAAAGATCAATTTCATGGCTATAGTGGGAATTTCACAAGGAAATAACCACACAACAGACACGTAATATTTTGTAAGAGAACGAAAGGTAGTACGTGGCACAGCAGAGGCCAACAATGAAATTAAAAGTCCAATTTTTATTTCGTGAGTGACCTGTGTGATCTATTTTATTGAGATTTTGTTGACAGCGTCATACAAACGTATTGCCACAAGCACAGTGCTACGTGACTGAAGCTCACAGTTCCCGTGACTGAAGCCCAAGGTCTAGCATTGGTCACGTGCTTCACTTTTATTTTGGAAACCAGACTGCTATACGCAGTTATTCAAGCGTAATAACTTGACCAAGCACATGTCACTGTACAGATTTCCATAGGGGCTCAGTTGCCGCGTGTGCAAATGTGACCATGAACACGTACGTAGGCTTATATGCCAATACAGCACCAGTCCAAAACAGGCACAGATACATTAAGAAGATTTGGGGCTTGACAATCCTTATAACCGCGTAAACAAAATAAAATATTTACCTCTGTTTTTAAATATCAATTAAATTGCGGATACTAATTTGGGATTTTAATAAAGTGACTTGAAGGAAACAAGCTGAGAGAACAGACGGGTTTGCCAAAATGCCGAGCACCAAGGAAGTAGCGGAGCTGATCAAGAAGGATCCCACGGCCGTGGAGTCTTACATGCCGCTGGTTCTTGAAGCGATACGAGACGACAAGGACATCGCGGAGAAGTATGGTGATCTGAAAGATGCTGTTGCAAAAGAAGTTTTTGAGGAGGTCAAATCCACGTAAGCATTGAAGCATTTTAATAAATAAATTCAAGGCAAGCATTTCATTGTTGGGAGTGTGACCTAGTGCAGGGTTTTGGACTCATGATGAGAAGGTCAGGGGTTCGAATCCAGCTGCTGGCCTTATGTTGTGTCCTTTGGCAAGACACTTCATCCCCACTTGCCTCCTTCCACCCAGGATTATAAATAGATACTGGCATTAGCTGGGGAGTAACCCGCGATGGATCAGCGTCCCATCCAGGGAAAGTAGAAATATTCTCAGTCGTTTCATGTCCAGGAAACCAGAGATGAATGCGGGCTGGACGGGCCACATTGGCCCGTGACAGACTTTACAAGCAGTGAATTATAGAATGACGGGGCGATGTCATGTCACACATACCGGTACAGAAAGATTACTAAGCTCTGGTTAATTCTGAAAATATGGATCCGTTGGCTCATTTTGAAAACAACAGTCTTTCAAGTCCATTCGATCTCGTTTATTATCTGAAATATTTCTGTAAACCACAAACCTTGATTTCGTATGTTAACTAGCAGTTGTTTTTCTTTTTAACTTCTTTCTTAGGAATAATAAACATGAGAAACACATGCTGGAGCTGTGCGAGACGTGTCTGGAGAAACGAGCGACTAAGTACTACCATCTTGCGAAAGACATGTTTAAAGAGAAACGGATCATCAACTGGAAGGTAGTACCTTTTTGTTGGCAAAACCTTAAAATGATAAGTCATTACAAATTAACCTATGTCAACATGTCAGCTTTATAGTATTGACTTAAACTTTTGGAGAAAACGCTTCTTCACTTTTCTGGACGCAAAGCAAGGTTTTCGTTGAAAGCCCTCCCTTCCAAAATGTTCATTTATACACGTCTTGACTTGCGCCCTTTTGAGTTATAATCTCCAGTTTGTCACTCGAGAAAATAATCTTCATTCGCGGATACGTACTGATTGCAAACTGAAACTAAATGCGGTCAGTTGGGAGCAGTATTTTTTCCTGATGGTTTGGTGTTTTAACCATCAGGAAATGATGGTAATTCTTTTTTTTTTGTTCTTGAAATTGACAGCATAATAAACGCAGTAATTTCAATGGATGCATGATCCTATTATTTACTTACAATCATGTATGATATTTCATTTTATTTTGACAGTTTCGTTTTCGAATGTTTGCTAATGTTTTTATTACCTTTAAAGATATACTCTATGGTGAGAATTGCATGTCAAGTGGTGCAGTGCCGGTGGTGACAGAATTCAACAGAGCGTGTCAAAAAACTGCAACATTCAGAAAACAATTAATTGAATCAATAAGTAAAACGGTGTTAATTTTACTTGGGCAAATCTCAATGCCTATCCAGTGCCAGATTCAGCATGTACAGGTGAGGGTGGCCAAAGTAAAATTTACACCCTTAATTTTATATCATGTAATTAATTGTATTTCTGGATCTAGGGACCAAAATGGAATGAGGAAAAAAAGAGTGGATTTAGAAATAGTCGGGCTTTAATGTAATGTATAATTTCATTGAAGAGAAAAGCATGAAACAGATTTAATTATTTATATTCTGAATTTTGGACTTTTCTTGGCAAACTCTTCACAAGTGCAGCAATAATGATCTTTATTCCTGCAAATCGATTGGACAGAAAAATCAAGCTATTTTCCAACCGTCAGTATAATACACACATCATTACAACCAGGAAATTCCCGTCTATTACAATAAGGAAATACGGCAGAAAGCTCTTTATTTACCCGATGCATGGAATTGTAATGATCACCTTTCATTGTGGTTGACAGTGACAGTTTCAGCATTTACGGAAGGGGGGGGGGGGCGCTTGCTGCGCCCCGCTCCCTGGATCCACTTCTGGTTGAGTTACTAAAATCATACTTGAGGTTATTATACAAGTGTTTGTGGGAAGGATATTTTTATGCACACACGATGTTCGGGTAACTACCAATGTTCCTGATGCCTCGAAAGGAAAATAATCCCCGTAGTAAGCTTTTGACATCAGCAACCAAACACTGTGTCCCAAAAGCCATTATTTGAATCATTAATACCGATATGATGTATTTCTTATGCCTTAGCAACATATCCCACTAGCAGAAAAGTTGATCAAAACCTTCGAGGTTCCCGTGGCGTTAGTGCGAAACAAGAATGATGATTGGTGGGGTAAGGACCGCAAACCGAGCGGCACAGAGATGGGCGGGGCACTGAAGGACTGCATCAAAGCCATGCTGGAAGGATTTGAGTAAGTAGAAAGTAAAAGTAATAATAATGATAATAAAGACCTTTCACCACACTACGTGAAATGTATGGGAAGATTGAGATGTTTTTACACAGTTGGTTCGGTAATTAAGGAACATTTTTTTAGTGGCGATAGGTTGACATTACAATTTTACTGTCCATGCTCTTCAAGAAATTCGTTTTGTTGGACCTTTAAATGTTTTATATTAAGGAAAAAAACTGTCTTTTGTATATTGGACATCTACAACGTACACAGTAAATGCATACCTTTGCACGCAAACAAGTACAGATACGCGATGTATGAGACACGATTCGCCACATTAGGAAGACAAAATAGATAAGGGAGACATATGTCTAGGCATATTTGTACAGTCAGATACAACGTACCTCAACTCCTTGTAATGCAAACCCCAAATTTGCAAAGTTTGGTGAGGGTAGGTAAACTTGAGGTTAGGGTCAGTTGTCAGGATTATCTTTGCAGGGGAATGCAGACGCGGATCCAGAGTTGGGTTTTGGAGTGTTGGGAACCCCCCCCCCCCCTCCATCACCTGCTCTGACACCAAGATAATAAAAAAAACAATCTCACATAAAACAAATCTGACGGGCCTGACGCAAGGGCGGATCCGGGGGGGGGGGCCCAAAGGGGGCCATGCCCCCCCCCCAAAAAAAAACCGTAACCAATTTTTTTTGTTATGTTACATCGCAATAAAGGCAGGCAATGAGTACAACACAGTCTTTTCCTCAAAAAAACATTGGTTAAAGTGGTCAGAAATTGCCTCAGATCGCACCACAGAGCATCTAGAATCCAAAAATTTTTCGGGGCCCTTAAGCGGGCCCCGAACCCCACGCCGTATTTTTTTTGACCCACTTTTTTGGGGACGAAATTTTTCTGGGCCCCTCCCAAAATTGTGTTCTGGATCCGCCCTTGGCCTGACGCCCTTGCAAAATTCCTGGATCCGCCCTGGAATGTCTGTTGGAATGTTTCCCAAAGGTGGCATTTCCAGTTACTATTGTACAGGTATTCTTTATTCCATAATTTAACGTGGATCGATATTTCGATCGATGTTTTTTATATTCCAAAGTAAATAACTTTTGTATTTCTAGTAATTAAAAAAAAAAACACAATTCGGGATAAAGTGGAAAACAGCACTTACATTACATCTTTGAAGGGTCCATGCAATATGACTTTCTTTTTAATATGGAGTCCTTGAAATGCACCTTGGAGCCTCAAAGACATTAATTACACTGAGAAATTACCCTGAGTGTCCTTAAATCCTACTGTATTAATTTATACGACGGTATAACCAAATTAATACAGAGGAACACAAATGCAAACGGGAAGACTTAATTGGGCGAAGTGTACTAGGAATGCTCTCTTCTTTTATGAAAATGAAAATATTTTCGATATTGCAGGGAAATCCAAAATATGGACGTTTCCCAGCAGCGCAGATTTACAAACTCTTAATCAGTTTCGATACATAAAATGTCTCGAATTGGTTTCTTTACAGCCGAGACAAAATCTTGAAGAAAGTGAGCAAGTGTATGGTGGAGGTTCTTGTGAAACTCTGCAAGATGCCCAACGAGCTTCAGATTATTGCAGGACACGCCTTCTCTTCAAATAGCTTTCACAAACTCAGCTGGGACGTAAGAGCAGATGTTCTCCCCACTATTAAAAAAAACTCTGGCAAACCATAGGGCCTTCTCTGTTATATTGCATTACTTTCTGAAGTTTGGGCGAGTCAGGTTGGCGTAGCGATACTTTCCTCGCCTTCCACCGCTGTGACCCGGGTTCGAATCCCGCCTGGGTCAATATGTGGATTGGGCTTTGAGTCCATACCTGATTCCGTAGGTTTTCCTCAGAATACTCTTCTGGGCTTTTCCTCCTACCTCTAAAACTGTAATTTCTTCACATTGTCTTCTCTTGGGACCCATGGGAGATCAGTGGATTCCACTGAATGGGCTACCCAGTTAAAATAAGAAATAAAGAAATAAAGAAATAAAGAAACAAATAAATAAAGTACCTGATCAAGCCAACGGTGACGTCATAACACCAAAACCCCAAAACTTTCCGTGTTTTTCTGCTGACGGGGAAAAATACTACACTCATAAAACCTCAAACAAACCCGTTTTAAGTCAGTGAATCCGCTCACCTCGTACACAACTATTGTGTCAAATTACACATTAGCCTATTAAAGCGGTGTTTTATTTGCAAGGGGGGGGGGGACACATTAGGGGTCTGTCATATAGTTTGAAACAATAGGCCTACATAGCTAGTATTGACTTCACCAAATTTTAAATGGGAAGGGGGAGTGTCCCTTGTGCCCCCCATTAGTTACGTCACGTACTAGTCCAAGAAGGTCACTGATTGCTAAGAATGAAAAGTATACATGGTGAAGATAACAGCAAGGTATGTTTGCGGTGGCACCCATGTGGAAGTTTTGTCAGTATGTTATGGTTCGGAGAAGAACCGGTTTTAACTCAACGTTGGAATCCCCTCAGTCTCGTGTCGACGAACAGAGTAGGCTGTTCGAAACGTGAGTTCAAACCGGTTCTTTTCAGAACCATTACATTTTCACAAAAGAGATTAATTTCAGGTGGTGCCACCGCAAATTTACCTTGCTGTCATTGATTGGTTTCCCAAATTGGGACCACCTGTTTTTGCTGGACCAGCCTGTTGCTTGTCGTCAAAACTGACTGAATTACTGCCTGAGTGAGTGACTGTTTGACTGAGTCACAAAACGTCCACAATTTAGAATTTCGTGTCGAGATCGCTGAACCAAACCTAATTATGTCAGAAACTGTTTAGATTATGATTTAACACCTACACCTGGATAAGCGACTATAGTCAGTATACACATGGGCGTCGGCAGGGGAGGGAGGGGGGGGGGGGGAAGCACATTCCCCCACCCCCTAGATCCTTGTACTTTCGCTAGCATATTCTCAATTTATCATTTTGTTCGAGAGTGAGCGTGGGGACATTTGCCCTCCCCGATCCCATAGACCATTATTTTGTTGCAGCCATTCGATTTTTTTTCCTATTTAAATCAATGTAACCAAAGGGAGGCTGGAAGGAAAACTAGTCTGGTTCCTTTTTGCACAAAATAATTATCATTCAGTACTGTTATTGGATGCAGGGAACATGACTGACATGGTGGCAGCATGGTAAAGGTCTATTGACATCCTGCAGACGCCCATTTTGTTAAATGTGTATTAAATAACTAGCAAATATGACTTCACACCTCCTTTTTCTTTTTGTTTCTTCTCCCTCATTTTGTTTTCTTTTTGATTTTTCGGGGGGGGGGGCAAGCGCCCACTTTGCCCAACCCCTCTCGCGTCGCCCATGAGTATACGTTCTGAAACGAGACAAGATTAATAGCCAGGAATTACCCAGAAACCCCAAAATGGTTTACCTTTTCAGGGGACCGAGAAGATGCTGCCGGCACTGTACAACAATTTGTACGAATGGATGACATCAGGCAACGTAGATCTTGAGTCTCAATCTGATGACAAGACTCGATTCATCAGTGACATCATAAAATCATCTCTCGAGGGAGCTGGGTAATTTGTTATGCGATCCAAGTATCTATTGGCGAAAAAAAAAAACACACACCATAATTTGCAGTTTTGCGTGGCCTCAAACAGACGAAATTTAAAAGATTAAAAATATTCAACGTTTACTTAAGTAAACATATTTAATAGCATAACTCTATTTTCGGTTGCTGCTTACTAGCAGAATCAATTTTATTTTACTTTTGATAATTTGTAATACACCATGATTACTTTGAGCTTTTTTAAATTTACATACTCGACAAAGCACCACTTATACTTATCATGTTATTTCTATCCGCAGGTCACCATCAAAATATGCAAAGGAAATCTACAAGATTTACCAGTATGTACTGACACATGATTTAGACGGCCAACCATTCTCAGGATACGGGTTGTTAGCGCTAACCATTAATTCCGGATTTGTAGTAAAGGTAACTTTGTCCATTGTCCTTCCTGTATGAGTTAACAATGACTTATTAGTCCACATGTTGAAAAAAAGATGAACTTAAACCTCACTCGTTTTACCATTCTTTGTAAAGATGAAGACATATTATAGGTCCCAGATACAATTTATCACTCCTGCAATTTACTATGCAGGAAATGTACAAGTTGCATCATTATTTAATCTGATCCCACCGCTTACACCAATAGTCAACAATTGTCAGCCATACAATTCAGAGCAACGAATCTTAAAACTCACCGTTTCAAACTCCATTAATAGAATTGTAGCAACCAGCGACTTATCAGAGACTTCGTGCCTGGGGTGGTCAAGATGCTCAAATGTGACAACGAGCAGCTGATGATGACCGCTTCAGCCTGCATCACAAGCTTCTACCAGCAGGTTGACCTGCTGGCCCCGTGCGCCGATGACGTCATGGAAGCCTTTCTTGACGGGAAAAGTGACACGTTGGGCTGTAAGTTGTGCTTTATCTCATCTTCAGTGTTGTCCATCAGTCCTTCCCAAGTCATGTCCCAGGTCAACTCACTAGTCCGGTCGCAAGTAACAGAGGAAGATGAACAATAACAAAGGATTTGTTTTTGTCACAATATACTTGAATAGCTAATTACTAATTCGAGGTCTTGTGGGCATTTGTGAAGGATCGACTGCAACCCTTCTTTACGAACTTCTTTACGAACTCGTCGGAGTCAAATTAAATAGTACAATACAAATTTGAGTGACCACCATGGAATTTACTCTATTCGAATCTAGTGTGTCTGAAGCCCTTGTATGGAGTTAGCCCGGAGAAGATACTGAGCAAATTTGATCAGCTTGCTGAGGCGATGGAAGACATGAATCAGACCAACAAGACCTACATCTACATGCTATGGGACGACGTAGCCAAAGATAACGCAAAGGTGACTCGAATGCTTTCATTAAATTTCCATCTGAACAACTTAAAGGATAAACGTTCAGAGAATAAGGGTATTGCTGGTTCTTTCTGAAGGAATGAAAACTCGAATTATGAATGAATTAAGTCTATTCATCCACAAAACAACATCTTTTTGAAATGAACAAAGACTTTCGTAGTGTTTTGCAGATCTGGTTCCTGCCAGTTATTAGAAGTGGACAAGCCCGGTCTTGGTAGCTTTCCAAGTAATTTTCTGCAAACAAAAAGCAGGCTGCATAACTGCAGCTAAATTATGCATCAGACTTAAGGAAAATACAAAGTATCTTTTCATCATAAATTGAGGATGCCTACTTCATAGGATTCAGTATACAGACAACATTTACAAGGGCAAGTACAGGAATGTTTGCAGGGGGTCAGGCCCGTCAGATTTTTATTTCCGATTGTTGCGGACAGGTGGACATAAGTAATTATTATTACTACAATTGTCATACTTTTTGTTGTGGTGTCGGAACTTGGGTGGGTAGGGTGGGTTCGAATCTCCTCCCTGGTTCCGCGCCTGATTAAGATGGTACAATGATTGAATTTGGTGATTAGTATGTTAAAAAAACAACAACAGTGCAATCATTTGCAAGACATTAAATTCACCAAGAAGTTTGATAATTATTTACTCTAAAGATTTAGCAAAAAACATAACTGCAGAAACTGTTTTTGTCACATCACTAAAATCTCAATAGTGAATTCGATTTTCAATTTTCCACTCAGTTACTCGTGCCTCACTTGGACCTGATGATGGATGACGTCACAAACTCTCAAATCTGCCACCAAGTGGTCTCGGTCCTGGGAACTATGTCGATCAAGTTCCCGGGTCAGTTTGTCGACAAGATCGACAAGCTGATGAGGGTCGCGAAGCAGACACCGTACACCATCCACGCGGTGTCGAAGATTGTGGCGAGTGTTGGTCAGATAAACGAGGTCAGACATGTATTTATAATTCGTCGTGTTCCCGGCAGAAGGGCATGTGTGCATATTCTCTTTTGCAATAGCGCGTAATGACCAAAATGTTCCCAGCAAAAGGGCATATGCAGAAAACTGCCTCCATATATGCATATATAAGGGCATATGTGCATATTCCCTTATGCAATAGCGCGTAATGACCAAAATGTTCCCAGCAAAAGGGCATATGCAGAAAACTGCCTCCATTTTAAAGGGAATATACATCATTTGCTTTTGCTGTAATTTTCAGAAATGGATGGAATTGGGGGGTCGGTATAGCAAATATAGTTACACTGACTTTTTTGAGGTTTAGGGTTCGAAAATGCTAAAAAAACCCAAGAAAAACAATCATTTTCCTGTAGTCTGGTTCCCTGACTCCATTTAAGAAGAAACAGAGCAGTTTACATATATTGGGGAATTGTAAGGTCAGGGAACCAGTCTAGCTGGCTTGTACCCGTTCATAGGTGTGTAATCGATTGCAAACAAGTGCGATGGTCAACTGGGGCCAGTATTTGAAAAAAAAGCCAGTTTTTTCCAACGCTGATCGGCCGATCAGCGTTGGAAATTGATAAAAAAATACCACTTTTCTTGAAAATGACAGTATACCAGGTGCATATGATTTTACAGGATGCTTTACACTGTCATTCACTAACAGTCCAGCAAGGTATTTCAAAATTATTTGGTAGTTTTATTTTTGGATGTTTGCAAATGTTGTATTTTCCCTTTAATGAGTTTTAAACATTTGATTCAAAATGCGCGCAGGGAAACAATAAAACCTTTCAATGCAGTTTTCTTGAAAATGATTTTTGCGTCAGAACGCTCATATGCCCTTCTGCCGGGCACCCGACGAATTGTCCTCATGTGCATGGGCGTCAATCCTGGGGGGACAGAGGGACATGTCCCCCCCCCCCCACACTCTTTGAAGGGTGGGGGACTCAATATCAAATGTCCCCCCCCCCCAGATTTTTGAACTCGTGCCGCATTTACAGGGCCCTATTCTGTACTACAATGTATCTTTTGCTAAGAAATATCGGTTAAAGTGGTCAGAAATTGCCTCAGAGCATTTAGAATCCAATTTTTTTTGGGCCGTCAGACCCCGAACCCCACGCTTTTAGCTTAAAGCATAATAGCTTATTCAATGACTTCAACCTCGAAAATGATTTTTAAATTATCTTTTGCTGGGAAAATATTGGTTAAAGTGGTCAGAAATTGCCTCAGATCGCACCACCCACGCTGTAAGGGCTTTGCACTTCGCGCTCGCATTATTTCTGATCAAGGTTTGTCCCCCCCCCCACTTTTGAGAAGCGATTGACGCCCCTGCTCGTATGTCACTTTAAACAGGTTGAAGAAAAAACAAACTAAACCGTAAAAAGAGAACAAAATCTTAAGTATTTCACCCAAATCTATAGATGCATGGATAATCAGTTACAGCCCGATACCCCGAAGGTTCAATAGACCGAAGGTTCTTTAGTCCAAAGTGTTTTTAGTCCGAAGGTTCGTTTCTCCAACGATTCAATAGTCCGAAGGTTCGATAGTCCGAAGGGCCCATTAGTCCGAAAACAGAATAAGGTTAATTAATCCGAAGGTTGTTAGTCCGAATAGACGATAGGGTTCGATAGTCCGAATCGACAATAAGGTTCGAGAGTCCGAACAGATGATAAGGTTCGAAAGTCCGAATCGACAATAGGGTTCGAGAGTCCGAACAGATGATAAGGTTCGAAAGTCCGAATATATGGTTGGGTTCGATAGTCCGAATTGACAATGAGGTTCAATAGTCCGAATTGAGAATAAGGTTCGATAGTCCGAATAAGCAATACGGTTCATCAGTATGACACTTCGGACTATCGAACCTTACTGTTGATTCGGACTATCGGACCTTATCGTCGATTCGGCCTATCGGACCTTATAGTCTTTTCGGACTATCGAACCTTCGGACTGATTAACCGTATTCTAAATTCGGACTATCGAACCTTTGGATAAATGAACCTTCCGACTAATGAACCTTCGGCCCATTGCATCAAATGTTCGGATTAACGAATCTTATTTCATTTTCGGACAATTGAACCCCCTCTTATGACAATTTTGTGCATTTGGACTATCGAGCCTCGGACTAAAGAACCTTCGGACTATCGGACCTTCAGACTATCGGGCGGCCCCCGGATAGGTTATGGCAAAGAGTTAGACATGTGGATTGAAAGAACTCAAATAATTGAAAAGAGTTTCACAAATCCCCACAAGTATAAAATCAATCACAAACTATCCGAAGTCAAGTAAAGTGACAAGTTAGTCAAATGACACAGGTATCCCTTTGTCATTATTCCCGCTACTGATGCCACCTGTGGTAGGATAAGTGATTGACTTGTGGTTTGACCCGTGATTGACTTGTCGATACTCTCACACTCTAAAAAGTCCCGGTGGGGTTTGACCGGGATTCCTGGTCCTTTTTGACCCGATACTTTTCTGGGTCAAAATGACATTCCTCTGTGCCAAAATGACGATTTTGCCAAGGTTTCCACTCGGGTCAAATTGAGGATGACATTTTGACGAGGAAAAGTTCCATTTTGACCCGCAAAAGTATCATATAGAGTGCATGAAAAGCTCGATTAAAGCTAAACAACCAAAAACTTAACCCGATGACTTGGTGTCCTAATGCAGAAACAAGCCGAACGTTGCATGAAAATACTGGTCGACAAACTGAAGATCATCGAGGACATGTGGGTCATGGTCATCTTGATGGATATGAAGCGGATCGGTCGCAAGCACGTGGAGGTGTTGAAAAAGTACCGGGCCGACATCGAGCCATTCATGAAGAGTCAGGCCATGGGTGTAGCCGATATGGTGCAAAGCTTGATTGATTTCATGGAGGGACGCAGGTAATATTGTAGGTGGAAAGCAAAAAGGGATTCCATCGAGATCAAGGAGATTTGAGGGAATGGCTTGAAATTCGTTTTTATAACGTGTACACTGTACAATTAAGCAATAACTTTAACGTGAAATTTGTCTCTACTGTTAAAAAGTGTGCGAACACACTTTTTCACAGGAATAATGATAAGAAGAGATTAGAAGAGATTGATAACAAGCTTTAATTTACACTATAAATATAATTGTACCATTCTATCCTACAAAGCGATTATCAGCTTTGTTTGTCTGAGAGAGCCATGAAATGATTCCTCAATGAGAAGCAATCGTCCCCTTACATTTTGCTCTTGCAATTGCAATTTCCTAATCTTGCCATAAATGTCTTGTAAGATGGTAGCGCACTGCATTATATTGATATGTGTGATTTTCATTTGGACTCGGATAGGTATTTAATACCATTAAAAGTCTTTCAACACAGAAAGAAACAAACCAATCTCCCACGAGTAGCTAATGTCCTAAACTTTCCCAATGGATCCGTTCTTTCTATTCCAGCTTTGCATTTTCTTCAACATGAAACAGAAACAGAAAAGAAATCGAAAATATAAATCAATATTTAATACCAAAGAAGCAAAATAGGTGAAGTCTGATGGTTTCCAAAGCTGACGTCCAATACTCTTTAGTGTTGTTTTTAGTTGCTGAGATATGCTCCATTTCATTGCCAAGTAACTCCACAGTTCTGGAAAAAAATCTAACGTGTTTTTTTTAACGTCCACAGTTTGGAAGCTCTCGCGGATGACGTGGAAGACGTGAAGGAGGACGTCCAGAACCTGGACAATCGAGTGACTGAAACGGAGGAGAATGTCGACCGTCTCGACAAGACGGTGACTGAGCAGGGCCAGGAGATCGACAATGTCAAGAATGAGGTGACGGAGCAGGGACAACGACTGGGCGACCTGGAGGAGGTGGTTGATGATACCATCGTAAGAGTGGACGAAATAGACCGGAAAGTAAGTACAAAAAGGTGTTGTGCCAAGAAATTTTCTTTAAAAACCCAAAGACGTCCTTTCCCGAAGTACAGTCATGCAACACGTCATACATCAGAAGGTTCTTGGTGTCAATATGTGTAAATTTGAACACCCTACTGATTGGTGCCAATGACAATAAGGTTTGACGAACTCTTCAAGACGAACAGAACATACCGTAAGGAACGTCAAGTTTTTCCTAGCTCCTACTCCGAACACAAACCGTTCTCTTACACCTACATTACATCAACATCTACTAATTTACATCAACTATTTACATTTCTCCAGCTAAAAAATACCCACCGGATTGGCAAATTCCCTTTTTTTTTTGTTGATGCGGGTTGTTCGATCAATTGAGAAGTTCAGAGCCAACGCACCCCGTGAAATCATAATCTGTAAAACATAATTGAACACAGTCGTATATATCGTAATCCCATGCAAGACTTTAAAAAGATGGGTGGTATTGGAGGCACGCACATAAAGAATGTGACTGCCATTTGCTGGAGTTACCATGCATTCGTATGTCTAACAACTTGGTGTTTGATTGCGTCACAAGTTTCACATCAGTTTTTTACTCTCCTGTAACTTATAAATAAGTATGGGTACGTTTTCGGATCAGCTTTTCCCTGGCCCAAGAGACGAAAAACGTAAGCCCACATCACTCATTCATTCATTCATTTAACATTGACTTCCAACTCTGTGTACAAACGCAAATAATATACATAATATAACGCAAAAAATAACAAGAGATGAAATAATATTAAGCAAAAAGGGTCAATAAATGTACATGATATTAAGCGATAGGTATTAACTGGAAACAGAGTACGGGGGCATATGCAATCTTCATCTTCAGTTGCTATGGTTTTCAGTGTGTGCTGCAGGTAAATATCCAAAGCTGTGAATGCTAACCCATGAGATAACCCACAAGTCATAACTCGTTTCACACCAACGCTTAAAATACACTTTCTTAGCCCTCAACTAATTAACGGATACATGATTCCAGCCAACAGTTTTGTCCAATCAAGACGTGAGCGCTAAACAGCAGACGCAATGTCTTCCAGAATCCTTGTGTCTCCTGCAACTTGATGACGAACTACTCAGTCCGTTCGAGGTGTTTGTGCGTACGACTTTGCTTGATATCCAGCATAAACTGTGCAGTGTCCTCTCCAATCAGACCAAACTCTTCCAGAGCATTGCAGATATTGAGGACAAAATACAGGGATACAGTGAACAGTAGAAATCTATTTGTAGCGAAATTCTTTTCATCTAGAAAACCAAGAGAATGCAGCGTCATGGTCTCTGCATAATGATGGACAATTTGCTGAATGTCGAATTTCATTTTCATAAGAGTTTTGACGTGCTGAAGTGATTCTCTTAAATGAATTGGCTGAATGCATTTAAAATGGAAAGTGGAGTTAACTCGTGGTACAATAAGCTGACAACTCAACAATGTAATGATGGGCCTGTCAAGAAAGTAAAGAACGTCCAACGTCCATATAGAGTTTCAGTGTAGTCCATTTGAACTGGATTTATCAAAGAACAATAAAGACTGGTGACCGAAGAAGGAGTAACAGCTGCAAGAAACTGCCTATCGATTCTGAAAGTAAACACAAGTAAAATTAAATTTAAAATGTACAGTTGAAATCTAATAAAATACATTATTTGTAAAATCTGAATGTATTCATGTTCATTGCATACAATACCATGGACAATCGCTGCCCATACAACAAAAGTTATGATTTTTGGACATTGTTACGAATTCTCCGACTCAAATTCTTAAAATACGAGAGGTCAAAATCAAGTTGTCAAGAACAAAATCTGCAATGTGTGGTGAACTTTACATACTATACACCATGCGTTGCCTTAACAGTGAAAATAATATTTCGACCTTTATATCAAAAGCTCCACTCCTGCCGTCAACTTTCGAATTAAGCATGTCAAAAAGAACAAGTTGGGTCTTTTTAGGAGGAGAAGGCGGATTGGGCGAGAAGGGGGTTAAAATAACTGGGTGGTTTGATTCAGCTTTTGGTGTTATATGAAGAGAATATAAATTGTGTTTAAGTAAAATGGGGTATTTGTATAAAAAAGACAAACATCTCGGTGGACTTCCAAATATTTAAAAAGAGCCCTGGCCAGATGTCTCCTTATAAAATCAAGCTGGCAAGCAACAAGTAAATGAGACATAGGATTGGAACATGCGATTGGAAGTACCTTTAATTGCATGAGACACCCAAGTTCGATTTGATCATGATCAAGCCACAGGCATGATGAAGTCACCAATGTCTGCGGTTAATACATAGTGGATAATATATTCAATATTATATACGCTTATGGAATGACGTCGTTGAAGAGCCTATTCCCAATACTCAAATCAAACTCCTTTACATTCTCCCTCTGCCAGACCATTACCAATGCTCCAAAGTGGTCTCGGGACATCGCCAACCTCCTGAACCCCGAGCACGAGCACGACTGGCGTTTCCTGGCCATTCGCCTGGGCTTCACCGGCGAGGATGTCCGTAACTGGGCCCTGTCTCCGGACCCTACCATGGCCATCCTGGCCGAGTGGTACACTATTCATAAGAGTAGTGAGGCGACTTTTGCCATCTTGACGGCGCTGCAGGACATGGGGAGAGACGATGCTGCGACCATCGTGGAGGAAGCGCTACAAGCCGCCGGTACGTTTACTTTCAGTTTTCAAACGCCTAATATATCAACAACGACTTGGAAACATTAAAAAAAAAAAAAAAAAGATAGCTAGATTTGCCTCTGTGTGGATCACCATGTATGTTCCCGGGACGTTAATTGCGCAAGCCATGTGGGACTGCACACGGCATTGCCATTAACTTGATTATTGCCGGTGATATGTATTGTACCTTTTATGTGAATTATGAAATAAGCATCAAAATATACACAGCTCATTTGATTAGCTTGTGACTTGACTTATGACTGGATGACTAGTGATTGATTTGCGATGACTTGTGATAACTTGTGATGACTTGCAACGACTTACGATCACTGGCTCACGGGCAGTGGCGTAGCCAGGAATTTTTCAGGGGGGGGGGGGCGCTGGGGGGGGGGGGGGGGCTGGAACGTTTCATGGGGGGGGGGGGCGTCATGTAGATCAATGATAACTTTTTTAGAAACTCAAAATCTCAGTGGGGGGGGGGGGCCGACTGGGGGGCGACAAGGTTTCATGGGAGGCCGACTTGTGATGACTTGTGATGACTTGTAACGACTTACCATCACCGGCTTACGGGCAGTAAAACTCAAAATCTCAGTGGGGGGGGGGGGGGGGCGGCAAGGTTTCATGGGGGGGGGGGAGCACGCCTCCGTGGCTACGCCGAGGTCCAACTTACGGAGGCACTTAATAGGGGCATCATTTTCTGGAAGGGGGGGGGGGCACTCAGTGACCTTGTTAACAAAAACACCAATTTATTTTGCCTTCTCTAAATTTTCAGTGGGGGGGGGGGGGGGCATAAGGGGGCACAGACCTGGGGGCACATGGGCACATGCCCCCATGCCCAGTAAATGTTACGTCACTGTTCGTGATGACTTGTGATGAATTATGAACAAAATAATGATGACTGATTGATATCTGTCGTACCACGTCTGTAGATAAAGTGGTTCCTAAGGCTGCCCCGGACATTTCCGAGAAGCCTCCGCGTGTCTTCATCAGCTACCAGTGGGACCATCAGCCCGAGGTCAAGGTCATCCAGGAGCATCTGGAGAAGGCAGGCTTCAACTGTTGGCTGGACATCGGTCAGATGGGAGGCGGGGACAGCCTCTTTGCCAAGATCAACGAGGGGATGAGGGCGGCCAAGGTGGTGCTGTGCATGTGCACCGAGAAGTACTCCAAGTCTGAAAACTGCAACAAGGAGGTAGGTCCTCACATGCGAGAAAATAATCACATGAGATTAGAAAGGACCTCATGCACCGTCGAAGGGAGTCATCGTTACATTTTGTTTCTTGGATGGGAAACAGCCATACTGGTTTTCTCATTTACTTCCAGAAAGTAGGTGGAAAGATCGCACCGTTTGCTTAAGTTTGCATAAACAACACACAGAAGAACACAATGAAAGGCCGTCAATTTTTCCTTGAGATGCTTTTTCCAACCTAAACGCCTCTGAATGCAAATCGATAAATTTCCATAATCAGGTGAATTTGGCCAACCTGTTGAACAAGCCCATCATACCCGTACTGATCGAGAAGATAGACTGGCCTCCATCCGGCTCCATGAGCATGCTGTTCGCCCAGCTGCTGTACATTCAGTTCTTCACTGACAAGGAGTACGTGAGAGGGGAGAAGTTCTGGGAGGATGCCAAGTTTGCTGAGTTGCTGGGCCAGATCAGTTATCACGTGGCCCCCGACGAGGAAATGATAACTGATGGTAAGCAGATGTTCATTCGATGTTAGTAAAAGAGTTTCTTCAATGAGACATAGGGAGAACATTTCTTAGTATCGCGTTAGAAGACATGTAATGTAAACGATAAACAAAACCTGTAGGCCTCTTTACTGAACTCAGTGCCAATTTCTACATCATGGATAATAATTATGTGTTTTGTGTAAACACATGCTTGTTGATTGCTTATTGTTATCCGGCATTTGTATATTTAAACAGGGAAACAAGTGTGCAGAATGTCTTCTTACGAAAGCCGTTCGATTTCAAAACAAACTCAGAATAACGACAGTGCCGTACCGAATTAACCTGATGGGTGCGCAAGTAAAACTACTTTATCGAGAGTTCTAGACTAATAATTGCAGGACTGATTGTTGATAGCTTATTGTTATCCGGCATTTGTATATTTTTCAACGTTAATTTCAATTTCCTTCCGATTAAAACACAGACTGACGATATTCCTTAGGATCAGTTTGTTTTAGAGAAGTGTCAAGTTTTCTATAACGACATGGATAATTATGCTGTTCAGTTAATCACAACAGATGTTTTTTTTTGTCATTTCAGAATATCGTAACTGGGTACCACAGATTGATGATCTGCCGAAAGTTGTCAAGAAAGCGAACGAGAAGACGTCCACAGACGACAACACAAAGGCTGAAAAGGCAACGGATCAGGTACAGATGCATTATTTCTCTGTTTGATACAACATACCAAAATTATTATTTGAGGAATTGGCGGCAAAATGAAATCTTAATGTGCAACGTTCAAACAATTTCAAATTATATCGATTACCATGCAGCTGCTGTAACACGATAATATCATTTCTCAGGATGTTGTATCTGAAACATGTTTGAAATCCTCTCTTGATGGAAGTGTTTAGTTGAGTCAATCACAAGTAATCACAAGTCCATCACAAGACGTAAGTCAAGTCGCAAGGTATTAAAATGAACTGCACCACTAGTATTCTTCTGTGATTGTTCATCCCCTGTTACTTGTGACTGGACTTATGAAAGGACTTGTAATTTTTGACCAGACTTGTGATGAATTCGTCATGGACTCGACTGTAGCACTGCTTATCGCTGCAGTTCATGGAACATTCTTTAAACTCTTTTTCTGTGTCTGATCAGACCCAACAGATCATTCCCCAAGTGTTCATCTCGTACCAATGGGACAAGCAGACGGAGATCAAGACGCTGTACTCCAGACTGACTTCGCTCGGGTTCAGTTGCTGGCTGGATATCATGCAGATGGGAGGCGGTGACCCGCTCTACTCCAAGATTGACAAAGGCATTAGAAATGCCAAGGTGAGTGACTGGAAGACTCATGGAAATTGTCATCCTTGTAGGTTTGGCGCTACAACTCATCAGATAGCTTATCTGACAGGATTTTAATTTATGTACTTTGATTTGTTTCTTTAAAATACAAACAAATCTGATATAAAAGGGTCATATGGAATTGTAATGTTCGTTCCAATAATTGGATGTATATGTTGGACAGGAATATCCATGAAGTGTTTACCAAAAGGGACGACAAAATCTTCCTGATAAAAATAGAATGCTTCTCTAAATTTGCAATTTATTTCTTGTCGAAGGTTGTGGTCTCCATTGTGACCCCCAAGTATGCCTTGTCTGCTAACTGCCGTCGCGAGGTGAGCCTTACAGATGCTCTCCGTAAACCCATCATCCCGCTTCTCATGCAGCGGATGACGTGGCCCCCTGAGGGACCCATGAGCATGCCCTTTGCCCAGCTCCTCTACATCGATTGTACCAGTGAGTCCACACAGAAAGAGTTCAGGGATGCCAAATTTGACGACCTGGTGCAAAAGCTTAAAGAGCACGCTACTGTCGAGGATACGGTAGTCCAAAGTGCGCCACCTAGCGACACTGAGAAACCTGAGATAGAGGAGGCGAAACAAGTAGAAGAGGAAAGTCCGAGTCCGCCAGCTGCTGAAAATATCAAGAAACCGGAAGCAGAGGAGAAAGAGGAGCCTGCTCAACAGAACCAACCACCAAAAGAAGATGCCAAAGAAGATCAAAAGCTGCAACCAATCAGCACTGAGGACCGAGCAAAGTTGTCAGGGTCCACGGTACCTCAACAGACCCAACCACCAAAAGAAGATACTGAAGAAGATCAAAAGCTGGAACCAATGAGCACCCAGGATCCAGCAAAGTTGTCAGGGTCCACGGTACCTCAACAGACCCAACCACCAAAAGAAGATGCTGAAGAAGATCAAAAGCTGCAACCAATCAGCACCGAGGACCCAGCAAAGTTGTCAGGGTCCACGGTACCTCAACAGACCCAACCACCAAAAGAAGATCCTAAAGAAGATCAAAAGCTGGAACCAGTGAGCAGCCAGGACCCAGCAAAGTTGTCAGGGTCCACGGTACCAGAAGCGAGGCCTCAGTCAGAGATGGGTCCTAAGCATGCCGAGGTTATCCAGCCGGAACGGAGTGCCTCTGCCCCGAAGGAAAGAGCAAGACCTGATTCGCCAAAGAAGAAAAAGAAATCATCCATGTGTACAATACTTTAGATTAAACAATTTTTTGGTACACATGTACATAATACTGAAATACCATCACATTATAATAAACATATTAAAATCAATATTATGTTTTGCCCTTCACCGACGTATAAACACTGTGTTACCTCTCGAGTGAAAGTTGGAAAAAAACCACTCGACTGGGACTAGAACCCACGACCTCCTGCTTTCTAGTACACATGTCTTACCACTCGATCACCGAGCTAACGGGATCGGTTGGCTGGTTATGAATAGTTAATGCGGTGCCCGCTGCTATCAGATTCGATTACACACTTCGATTACATGCAGTGTTTATACGTCGGTGAAGGGCAAAACCCTCATATTGATTTACATCAGCCCGACGCAAAAAATCAATCTTATGAAACATATTTAAGTTGAAATAAGTTCTGTTTAAGTTTTTTTTAACCCGTTTTGTCATGATAATGAAAATCTAGGGATTATTTAGTTTTGTATGGAAATGCTACCATTTAATACTTATAGCTAATTTATCTTAATTTCCAATTAGTTTTACGCCGAAGTGCCACAACACATAATAGTTTTTATGCATTAATCTATCATCATATTAATTGTTTTGTTGTACTACGGGTGTTCATTACTGTCCAAGGACTTTCACTGACATCATAAATATAGTTTGAACATCACTGTTTTAACTATTTATAAAAAGGATAAAATACAAATGTATAGACTTGGCCACGTTTTATGCACTCTTTAAATATCGATGACACGTGGACATAGAGTATTAATTAGTTGCTAATTTGTGGTTGGCGTGTCAGTGGACTTTGTGTTTTACATTTTCTTTGTTTCAGCTTTTGTCTTTTTAAAATTGATAAAAACATTTGTAGCTTTTACGCAACAGAAATTAAAGGAAAATCGTAACTAAGATCTGACCTTAACTTGCTCAGACCATTTAATATAATGTACTCTTAGATTAAATGCACCCGTTTAAAGTTTTTCGAGCAAAATTAGAATAAAGAAACAGGTGAATATTATTAGGCACAATAAATACATTACATTTTCAAATAAACCACATAAAGGAACTCATTCGCCAGTCCTCACTTGCCAGTCCTCGCCAGCATACAGGGCTTGGTGGTTCAGTAGAGCGACGGAATGGTAGAATCCGCAGTTTGCTGGTTCAGTCCTTGCTCCAGTCAATTGCTTTGTTCAACTTTCATATTATTTCAATAAATTCAAAGTACAAACTCAATGCACTACACTTCCGTCTTACCAGCTGTAAAACAAAAACCAAGTGATGGCATCGACGACTGTTGTATGCTGCTTGAGTTTCCACAGAAATAGATGTTTTGTGAGTACTACAGGTTCCTTCACTTCAGATACAAAAAGTTAATGCAGTCGCTTCCAAAGAAAAACACTGAAAATTAAGTACACTTCTACCGGTATAAACAAAGGCATCCATCCACTTAGGCGTTCAATTAAAACACTATTTTAACATTATTTATTGTTGTAAGTTTCAATTTTTTTCTGACATAAACATCAATCCTCAGTTTCAAGTTCGATGTTAAAAGGAATAACTCCCTGAAGTCAGGAGATCACGTGGACCAATACATTGTGATGGTGTCCCTTCCCCAAAAGTGCCAAAGCCTATACATTAAAAAAATGAAGCGACATAAATATGGTTCTTGGACAAAAAAAGAACCCGTGAAACTGATGTCAAATTTGAATATACCTCATGTTCAAGATTTTCGAGTGACAGTTTGTTTGGTTGTGATATTGCTAGTTAGTTTGATGTGCTCTTTTTTTCCCCACCCCCTCAAACCTATTCACATTACCGACTAAAGCATGGATACGATATTTAAAACAACATGTTCAACTTATTGCCCTAATCAGGGGCGGATCCAGTAATTTTCGCAGGGGGGTTTTCATCATTTCTGAAAATGTACACACGTTTTTTTCTCCGGACACTTGGCCTCCGTAAAATCAAAAACTGGGGGGGGGGGGGGGGGGGGGGGAGTTTCAAATTCGACGATTATTAACACTCATTACAGAATGGTGTACCGTATTTCAAACAGGCGGACATTAGACCACTATAATTTTTTGGGGGGTGTCACAGCAGGGGGGGGGGGCGTTCGACTTATTTTTTAGGAATTGGTATGAGTTTTTTTTTTTGACAGAGCTGGAGGGGGGGGGGTTACCCCCCCCCCCCTGGTTCCGCGCCTGCTAATCCTTTTATTATGTTTATGAAATTGAGCTTTAATTAAAGATTATTTAAAGATTAATTAATACATAGGGCAAGGTATCCATACGCACAATTTGAAATGGAGTTGTTTATATATAAATACAGCACTGTGTCCCCTCAATTTGTTTGAAAGTCAGTGGCGTAAATCTGTGCCGGTGAGTGGGGGGAGGGAGGGGGGACGAGGGATGACTACAATCTAAAAATTGCCTGGCTGTGGAAATTCTCAAAGCGGGGGAAGGGGGGGGGGGGCTTGATAGCAATTACATTAGGGGACACTACACATGATATAGATGTATACCAATGCGTATACTCGTGCTTCTATAAAAACAGCTCATTTTAAAAGTCCCCCCCCCCTTTTCTGCACTTTTCAGTATTTGAATACATTTCTGTTTTGGGATGTTTAAACATACCTCGAAATCCGCATTTTTTTCTCATCACAAAAAAGTGTGTGTGTAGGAGGGGGGGGGGGAATGATTTTATAGCCCATTCCCGGTCAAAAAGTGGGGCATATATACCCCCATCCCCCACCCCTGGGGTTTACGCCCCTGATGAAAGTTATTCCTACCGCGGACTTAAAATGCATTTAACTGTCTGTGCAGATTCAAGGATATCCCCCTTGTTTTGCTAAAAGTCGGTTGTCTTGTCAATAGTTCTGTCCGAACAAAATGGGTGTTAAAAAAACCCTCCTGAATCAGGTCTTGCAAGCCCGAAACATAAGGGGCAAGACCACTACATGGACCCGCGAAATCACGATTTGTTAAAGTTTTCTTAAAACGCCACCCCGACCTCGGGGAAAGCACCACTCACTTTGGTCTTTTTTCGAGTCATTTAAAACAAACCAATATGACCTTCCTAAAAATTCCAAATTGAAATATATGTCAATGCTTATATACCAGGGGAGCTTTGGCTTCGATGCGGTGCGCAGAACAGACCAATTTGAATGTGTCTATAGATACATCCAATATTATCATGTGAGTAAACTTGTAAAAGTGTGAAAATCTCGGTACACGTTATCCCCGCCCCCAACTGACTAGGCAGTCCCTGCAATCCACATTTCATGGGCTTGGTTTTTTTTAGTTCATACGCAACGGACACCTGTCGATAGACAGTTGAGTATGGGATTCTTAATTGAGCGGGTCACCGACATGGCGTCCCCAACATCAGACAGTTAAGGTATTTTTTAAATACATTCTTTTCACAACGGCTATCAAAATTGGATTAAACTTTAAACCAAATGGTGAATTTAAAAAACATGGTGGGGACTAATCGGCATTTTGGCAAAAGTTTGACTTTCTGACTGAATGGCAATGGATCATACACTATGTTGTTTATCAATAATTTTTCAGTGTGCAATCCAATTTGGAAAAAAATCAAGGAATATATTAAGAGTATCAGAACAAGAAAATCGTATCTTTCAACTTAGAACACAAACGGGAAAACAGACACATCTTTTTTGTATACACATCTCGAGAATATTATCAACCTTGATGAAAACTCGCCAAATTCGGAACAAAAACCTCACCCACCCCACGGCCCCCTACTTGATATGTTATATCAAATTTACTCTTTTTCTGTTTTTGTTGTGCCTTTCCTTTAATAAATTTGTTTTAACATTTTAAATCCACCCTAAAGTACCTCATTTTTGTGTTGGATTTGCTTCAAAGAATGAACCTCCCAGCTTTGTTTTTTAGGATTAAATTCTCAGTTTTGTGGGGCAAGTTCACTCAAGGGGCAGTTCTGCTTGTGCGCGGAGCAACCCGAAATGAAAACCTTTATGAGGGGTAATTATAGACGGAAAAAATTGAAAAGGCGTGTTCGTTTAATAAAACTCTCAACAGGCAAAACTCAGAGGGCATTTTTCTAACGTCGTCTTTTGAATGAATGGACTGCTGCTGCGTATGGAAATACACACAATACAAATTGATGGCCCCATGGATAATAATACCATGTTCCCTCGCTATTCAGACATCAGAGAGGCCTCATACTTATTCTCGAGTTCATGGTAAATTATGCAAACGAGAATGGCCTTGTCTAGTCTAGATTATTGTTATGGTTGCCATTTTATGTATGTGTATGACTGTTGCTATGGTGCTTGATCAATGGACGCCCGTACAGCGTAATATGGACATGAACACTGGGCGATAAGCGGAGCGTGTCGTTCACCGTCGGCCATGGTAATAAGCCATCATCCAACGAAACTGTAGACGATATTCATCGCCATGTTATTGACTGAGATTAAACCTTAAAAAAAAATAGTATCTGTACGTTTTGTCATTGAACACTTAGAGATCGGAGTGAATACAACATTATTGGTCTATTTCTGTGCAAATGTGGGGAATTCTTAAAGGGTAAGTTTTTTTTACATCCGATGTTTATATTTTTTGTATTCCAGTTAGAGTTTAAAATGTTAAGTGCCATTTGATGTCAATGCACGCAATATAGACCTCTTTTTAAATCAACAAAAGCGAAATGGACATAAAATTATCTGCCCAATAAAACATGGCAGTCCTATGAAAGGTTTCAAAACTCACACACATGTGTTCGATGATATCCATGCTGGTGCTACTCATGCATACAATACTATAGGTGAATTAGATGATAAACCCTGCGACAAGTCAAAGTCCGAATTCGAGATAAGTGTTAGCCTTGACCAAGGCTATCAGCTTGTTCCCATACGAGCTTGTTCCCGCTACCGCACACAGCGCGCGCCGCGACACTATTACTATACCGTTGGCCTCAACGACCCTGGCGTGTGCTTTGTGTGCATGCACGTACGCCCCACACACACTTCCGCAAACAGCCGTACAGTAAGTCGAGGCAGAGCCTTGACGCAACCGTGTAGGCTCAATGTGATAAATAGAACGCGTTATGGTAAATAGTCTTCTCTCATTGGATAATGGCTGCCAAAAAAATGAATATTTATTAAATTGCATAATACGACAAAGGTTTATAAACCAGACGGCTCTGAGGTAACAATAATTATTGTAAAACACCCCTTGAAATCTTAAATAATTGTACAATAATATTTATATAGTTATACATAGTTTGGGTCGAAAATGAAATGAAAGGGATCAAAAATGAGACTTTTCACAAAACGGCGAACGGCCTACAAACCGCACGACGGCAAAAGCGGTAAGACGCGCTGCGCTTTCTCGGTCAGCGGCAAAAAAGCGCTCCCTTTTGGGGGGTATTTCTACTAGGCTGTCTATAGGGGAAATGGGCAAAAATTGTCTTTCCTTCAGCTAACTTAAGACTGATTTTAACGTGCATGAACGAGTACGACTAATATATTTTACAACATAATATGTTGACAGAGTACGACTAATATACCGACAGGGTACGACATAATTTGTCGACAGGGTTTGACATATCAAACATATGACATAATGTCGACAGGTGACGGTACGACATATATGTCGTGCAAACGATCTTATATGTCGAGTCGACAGGGTACGATATATGTCGCATACGACTCTGTCGTATATAAGTACGACTTAATATCTTGTGTGTACAACATATGAATTTTTATTCGTACGTTCGACTTGTTTGTCGATTATGTCGTACATACGACATATCTTGTGAGTACGACTTGTATCTCGCACGTGCGACATTGTAACTCGTATGTATGACTTGTATTTCATACGACATATAGGTACGATTTATATGTTATACCTGCGACTTACATGTCGTACGTATGTCGTAGGTATGACATACAATTCGTACGTAGGCGTTAAAATACATGTCATATGTATGAGATAAAATTATGTTGCACATGGTACAAACTCAGGGAGAGACTATATTCACCAATTAGTCCCTATCGTATATTTCCATCCCAAAGTCAATAGCTCGTTTCTTGCAGTTAATTCATACGGTTGCGACATGACTATACGAGTTAACCTGCATTCGATAAAATGTGTATGATTTGACCTGGGTCCGAGGTGACCTGTTCCCTACATTCGCTGTCAGAATGTCATGGGCAGGTACGGGTCAGCGGCGTGTTGCACCGACAATAAACGTCGGCGGTACGTCTCGACCTGTTCAATTCGCAATACATTGGAAATAGTATCATCATTTTGAAAAGTGTTCATTCATATAGCGGCGTATTTCATTTGTTTTGGAATAAAACTGGAGAAATGGTTTAAAATCGGATTGAAATACCTGGACATTTATTTTTGAGTGTGGTGTTTACGGTAATTTGCGGGCTTCATGAATATGTATGTAGCAGGTCAAAGTTTACGGGCTTTGATTGGATATCGTGTAATATATGCGCATCAGAAATTCCCGGCCGAGTTTGGCCGAAAATATAGAAACACATAAGGAATTTGCCACGATTGCGTCAAGGCTATCCTCCGCCTCGACTTTCTGTACGGCTGTTTGCGGAAGTGTGTGTGGGGTGTACGTACATGCACACAAAGCACAGGCAAGGGTCGTTGAGGCCAACGGTATAGTAATAGTGTCGCGGCGCGCGCTGTGTGCGGTAGCGGGAACAAGCTCGTCTGGGTCAAGGCTAGAGAAATGTATGCAGACAGAATGATGATAATTATATGCATGTTTCATATATTCTATGATGTGATACGGTATACAATTAAAATCGAAAAAGTCCGTCTTATAATGTTTATGCTATAGATGTCCGGTGGAAACTATATTCGATTAATGTAGGCCTAACGATACACCAAAATATGAAACCAAAATATGAAACTAAACTCACTGCTTCAATGCATCATTTGTATATTGATGAACGACATGTTTCGAAACATGGAGCTCGTTTTTCCTTGAGCTTTATCACGAATGAAACAAAATATCATAATTAGAAAATTAAAAGGCCACTTGGTTTAGAGTGGAGCCCTTGTTAAAACCAAAGGTGAAAACAATTAGACAGAACTTGCTATATTCTGTGAATCACCAACACTCATTCCTCCACCCATGAAACCGAGCTTACAATTATGAATAAAACTGCTAGTAAAGACGTGTGCGATGATATTATGTTGCACGATTGTATCCAACCTCATGGCAGTGGTGGCTCGACATGAACCCCCCCCCCAACTTTTGCACAAAATTGTCAAACTTAAATATGCCTTAACCCAATATTCCCTTGTCCTTTTTCCCACGAATTTCGGTATGTTTACTAATAAGACCACGAGCTACAAATATAACCTAACTGGCTCTAAAGGAAAGCTGTGACATTAGGGAGACATGATAATGACCGGTCTCCCATCGTGCGAATATTACAATAAAGTGTCTCCTTAGTGGTAACTTTACACGTATAAGTATAATAATAAATATAATAATACAAAAAAAAATAAAAAAATGTAATAAAAAACAAAAAAATAAATACAAATAAATACAACAATTTAATAAAGTCATAAACAAAAACTTCCTAAATCACTAAAAAATAAGAAAATGAAAAAGGAAAAGCAAAATGCACGAAATCACGTGGGTTTAATATCATCATTACTTCATAATAACTTTACTTAAAAGGGCCTAAAAATGGCTACATTATATGCAGATTTGAAACATGGTATAATGTACATGTACATCCCAAGCCCCCCTGACTCGAATTTAAGAAACGAGGTTGAGGGAAGTGAATGAACTTTTGCTTTCTTGTCGGCAATGTCGTCCGCAACAGAGATTTCGAAAGTCTCAACGGATCGATGGCGGTGAATTTCTTGAAACTTAACGATGATAAGACAGACGTTCTCGTCATAAGATCAACCACATCGTTGACTAAGATTCCTGGAACTGTGGTTTATATAGAAAACCACGATATCACTGCAGTATCCGAGGTCAAGAGTCTTGGAGTGACATTTGACATGAACATGAATATGCAATCCCACATTAGAAATGTGTCTCGTTCGACATAAGTACAATCTAACGGTATCTTGGTCAATCAGCCACAGAACGGATAATTCATATGCTGGTTACTTCTCGTATTGATAATTGTAATGCTGTTCTAGTAGGTCTCCCTACCTCATCCCTGGCCCCATTGCAGAGGGTACAGAAAGCTGCAGCCAGGCTGCTTACTGGTACAAACAAAGTATGATCACATCACCCCAGCTCTCATGCAATTGCACTGGTTGCCAGTCAAGTATAGGGTGATCTTTAAGGTTTGTCTCTTGGTATTAAAAGTGTTTCCATGGTTGTGCTCCTAATTATTTGTGTGCTCCTAAGTACTAGAGTTCCAACTATATTTACTCGTTCTGCGCTAGACACGTCTCGATTATATTGCTCTAATGCCAGGCTGGTTTCCGCAGGTGAGAGAATGTTTTCTGTGCTGGTCCCCACCTGTGGAACCAGCTTGATATTAACCTTAGGAAGTCTTCCAGTGTACAGAGTTTTAAGTCGGGTTTGAAAACTCATCTTTTTGAGCAGGCCTTTCTTAATTCATAGGATAATGTTTATAATGTATTTTTTTAATGTATTGATCTTTACCATTTTTAGCAGGCTTTTTAATTCATAGGTTATGGTTTTTAAGAAGCTGGGTTTATAATGTATGTTTAAAAAAATGGTTTTTAATGGCTAAATGCTGGAAGAAAAAGTATCATTATGGTTTTTAATGGCTAATTTCCCTCACTGGACTTATAATGTAATTGTATGTATTGATCTACACTTTCACCTTTTTAAGAATATTTATAATGTAATTACTCTATCATTGTTTAAATGTGTACAGCAACTAAGAACATATTATGGATTACGGGCGCTATATAAATGTTAATTATTATTATTATTATTATTATTACAGTGTATTATTAGTTCGGGATTTTAATGAAGTGACTTCTACATCGAGCCAACGAGGCCGCCGCTAAGTGTAATTCGTGGAGGAAACAAACTGACTGAACGAACGGGTTCACCAAAATGCCGAGCACCAAGGAAGTGGCGGAGCTGATCAAGAAGGATCCCACGGCCGTGGATGCTTACATGCCGCTGGTTCTTGAAGCGATACGAGACGACCAGAACCACGCCAATTGGTGTGATGATCTGAAATTGGCTATTTCTAGACAAGTTTTCGAGGAGGTCAAATCTCAGTAAGTATTTTGATAAATAATTTCAAGGCTAGCATTGAATTGTGGGGAAGTGTGGCCTAGTGGATAGGGTATTGGACCCATGATGAGGGGGTCAGGGGTTCGAATCCAGTTACTGGCCTGTTGTGTCCTTGGGCAAGACACTTTGCCCCCACTTGCCCCACTCCACCAAGGACAACAAAACAGTTACAACAAATAAATAAATAAAAACCGGCATTAGCTGTAACCTGCAATGGATTGACATCACTTCTAGGGGGAATAGAAATATTCTCGGTCTTTCATGTCTAGGAAACCGGAGATAAACGCCAGCCTGATGGGCCACATTGGCTCATGACAGACTTTACTTGCATTGAACTATATAATGACTGGGCGATATGTTGTGACACATACCAGTAAAGAGGGCGACGACTAACAAAATGGATCCGCTCGCTCATCTTGAAAAGTTCATCTGATCAATTTCTACAAACTACAAACCTTAATTTCATGTCATGACGGGCAGCTGTTTTTCCCTTTTACATCCTGTCTTAGGAGTAATAAACATGAGCAACACATGCTGGAGCTGTGCGAGATGTGTCTGGAGAAACGATCGGCTACTAAGTGGTACTACCTCGCGGTAGACATGTTCGAAGAGAAACGGATCATTAACTGGAAGGTATTTTTATTAACAAAACCATAAAATAATGAGTTACTTGCCCGAGTTAGGGGTCACTTGCATTTTCTTGATGATAAACCTACCTAATTATTTAAGAAAAAAATAAACTTCGGAAATTTTCGGAAAAAGGAGGAATTCATCCCGTTTTAGTCACGTGACGTAAATTGTAATACATTGTATTACCGGAGACTACCGGACCTAAAATTCACCAGGAATAGTCGGAATAAAAACAATTCTTATGCATTTAGCTGAGAAAACCATGAAAATTATGTTTAAATTATTATCTTTTGTGCTAAGATAATTATTGGTTAAAGTGATAAGAATTTGCCTCAGATCACACCACAGAGCATCGAAAATCCAATTGTTTCGGGGCCCTTAAGCGAGCGATTTGTCCTTGGGATGAAATAGCTTACCCTTAGAAGTAAGCTAGTTCATCTCAAGGACAAATCGCCCATAGAAGAGAGAACAGGTGTTATCTACAAGATAGCTTGCACTGATTGTGACAGTTCCTACGTTGGAGAAACAGGGAGAACATTAAAGAAGAGATTGAAAGAACACAGACGAGCTCTTAGACTGAACAATCCATCTCTTTCAGCAGTTGCAGGACACGCCCTTAATACTGGACACAACATTGGATGGGACAATGCCCACATTATCGACTTTGAAACACATTTCTAGCCAAGAAAGGTGAAAGAACCATCTGGATCAAAAGCATTAATCCCTCATTGAATAGGGACCCTGGTTACTCATTATCACCTATCTACGCTCCAGTGATCTCGGGACAACAGACAGCAAGAAACTGAGTGCACAATCACTTGGCTTGAGAAAGTCCACAGAAGTGGATGAAAGCTTGCCAACTAATTTTTAGGTTGGTAGAAGCTTGAAGCCCGAGTACATCATTTGCAGCTATCCAAAAAAGTAACTGGCGTAATTATTGTTGAAAAACATACTGGTTGAAAGATAGTAAGGGGACTAAACTCCCTGTAAAATTATCCTTTCTGGCAAGCTCTCATTTTGAAGAAATCAACGAAAGAAGGCATTTCCAATGGTTCTTCTTAAGAAGCACCGTAGGAAAATTTAACTTAGTTGTTCGTTTCGTTATTCGGCGCAGCGCGCACAAGCATTGTAACGACGCACAGGCGCGCGCGGTCGCTATAATTCGTCGGATCAGTGCGCGACATCGCGTAAAGCTGCAATTCAAAACAATTCGAAACATGATTTAGCAACTTTTGATTTTAAATTGAGATCCTAGAATGCTGTTTTCTCGGAATATGAAGCTGAAACTTCATCAAGTAAGTTGTTCAGTATCCTTCATTAGATTTTGAACACTTTTGTTGCTTCAACCGACGAACAAAATGCACTAATTACAAATGATGGACTATAGCTTTAAACTACATGTACATGTTATGATCACCCCAACCAATGAAAGTTTTCTGTATTATACGTGAACATAAATTCAATTTGGCGCCGAGTTTGAGAACGACGTACATCCTGGTTTCATTTTCGCAATAACTAGCGTTCGATTTAATTTTGCATCAATCAAATGAACAAATGTGCATAACGTTTCATTTAAGAGATTACAAAGACGTGATTAGGTTTTCGGTTTGGCGTATGCGTTGCCCATTATTACGGATGTGCAATCCGATTCGCAGAAAATCGATTGTCTATTGTGACACAGGCTGAATTGAACATTCTTTTTCATTTGTTACAATTTCAATTCGCATTTGCTGCATTCAATTTAAATAAATTATACAGGCCTATACAAATCATGATACAACTTTGATCCATTAATTAATGATTCATTAATTAATCAATGTATGCCTTATTGATCATTAATGTGTTTGTTCTCATATACATAAAGGCCTATGTGAAATGTAGGCAAATAAAATGTGAAAATGATATAAAAATGACAAATATGAAATCACTCAAAATAATCTTGTAGCCATATTATTGAGACGGTAAAGGGACACATCACGTGTCATGTTACATGGGATCTGCATGGGGACTTTTTGACTATTCAAAAATTCAATCATTCAATCAACCATTCCTCAACTGTTAATTAAACACATAAATGAATTCCAATGCTTGATCAGGCACACATTTAATAACACTGCGAGGGAAATCGGCTGCACAGTTAGCGAAAAAAAGATTGATGATAAATTAAAAGGAAAACAGGATTGCGGATGGGCCTTCGATTCGCGCTAAAATGAAATGTTAATACACTAAATGCAGTGCACATTCGGGAAATCGTACGCTGATTTTTTTACGACTGAATGCACTTTCACGGAAAATGAATTATCATTTGTTAAATAGAAACAGAGATTAGGAATGTTCATTCTATTTCGCACGAAAGCGAATGCATCTTTTACAAATTCGTGTACACATTTTCCGCAATTGTCCGGGAAAACCTATACTAAAAATAGACTGCACGGTGCGGCCTTTATGAAACCATGGACCAAGAAACGACACTTCGCTATGGCCTGAAATCGTTCTTGTACATTACATACGGTATAAAGCCTTTTGATATCGGCAACTTATCATGTGTCCCCTACAGCCATCAGTTTGCCAGTGCGCGCTATACTTTCATTTATAACAAAATTTCTTATGATTCAGCAACATGTCGCCTTGGCCGAAAAGTTGATCAAAACATTCGAGGTGCCAGTGGCGCTAGTGAGATCCAAGGATGAAGTTTCTGGGCTCAGCAAGGGCTGCCCACCGAGCGATACGGGGATTGGCGTGGCATTGATGAGATGCATCCATGCCATGATGGCAGGATTAGAGTAAGTGAAGAGTAAAAAAATTAAGTTAAACGCAAAAAAAAATTAAAAATGTAAAACAGCTGTTGGTGTGGTAGGCCTAATCCGTACTGTTTTTGTGGCAATCGATTTTGATTTTATACTTTGTGTGCTCTTTATCAAATTAAACATACTTTCTCCTAACGACATTTCGACCATAAAATGTCATACTTTGACGTCTGCCACCATCTGACAGCTTTATCTAATACACAAACAGATTCGCCTTGCAGTTAGACTGGTTCCCGGTCCCTACATTATCGATTGCAGTAGGGGCGGGTATCAGTATACCCTGCGACAATGGAGTTATCGTTACGCGTTGGGTGAAAGTGATCCGAGATTTGTGGAATGGTTCCACAACTTATAATTAATGTGGGTCCATTTTTGTGGTCGATATCTCAAACAACAATCGAAAATGTTTGCAATGCTAAAAACGACCAATTAAAAAAAAATTCAATTTTTCTAATTTATACGGGGGTATAACAAAATAACAGCGGGAGAACATATGAAATCAAGAAGAATAAATTGATTGAATTGATGGCGATTTGTTTTTCGTTGCAAAAAAAAACTTATTTCGAAAGTAGGCTTTAAGGCAATCTATACTGAATTTTCCACCAGCGCAGTTTCGATATGTGTAGATTAAAGGGGTTGCTTCGCAAACGGTTAATTGTTTTTTTTTTTTTATTTCAATGTCTCGAAATGGTTTCTTTTCAGCCGAGACAAAATCTTGAAGAAAGTGAGCAAGTGTATGGTGGAGGTTCTGGTGAAACTGAGCAAGATGCCGAATGAACTTCAGATTATTGCAGGGCACGCCTTCTGTTCAAGTTCCAGGCAACCACTCAGCTGGGACGTAAGAGCGGATTTGTTTTGGTTTTTTTTCAATTGGCAAACCATATTGTCTACTTCTTTTATTACATCACTTTCTTTAATAATGATAATAATAATATTTACTCTTTTGGCTGCAATAGGGTGACTTTCCCATAGACTTGTGCACAAACCTAAACTGTCACCTAACCCAAGTTTACCTTATGTTTTTTTTCCCACGAAATTTAGTATTTATACTAATTGGACCATGAGGAATCGATCTAGATGGTTTTCGACAACAAAATTCCTTGTCCTAAGGGTCGTTTTCATAAAAGGGCGACAGTTATTTTGTCGCCTCAATAAGGTGTATCTTCTATTGTGGACAGAGTTCGCAAAACCTGTCGCCCTATTACAGTAATAGTAGTAATAATAATAATAATAATAATACGTGTATTATAATAATACATTGCATTGAGCAGCCACTGCGAAAAACACCGGGGCAAATGGTTCTTTAACATGCTTTACACAAACCGGGACCTACAGCTTTACGTCCCATCCGAAGGACGAAGCAATAATGGCACAGTGCCTTGCTCAAGAGCACAAGTACCATGTTCCCACGGTCAGGATTCGAACCCATGTACTTATATATAGATCAAACCACCCGTGACGTCACTCCTGTCGTTGCTGATGGGCAAAAAAAGCAAAACCCCACAACTTTCCATGTTTTCCGTTGACTTTAGATACTAAGGCCAAAAAAATGTCTCCGGTTTCTGGTATGGAGCTTGCCCCAAAAGTGGTCCGGCGACGCGGTTTTTTGTTCTTACTTTTTTTTCTTCAAATTTTGCCTGATGACTGCAAATGGCGCCCGACTAAATTAAGTACAAAATGTATGGGCGCCCAGAGAGGCCGTATAAAGCTTATACTTGAACGTAACCCCATCTTAAACACGTTAAAATTGTGCAACAGCAGGATTCCAGTCAAATCGGTGAGTTTTGCGGTTTTCATCTTATTGAAAAAAAAATACTTTTTTTAATGTTGCCAACGCGCATGGCTACGGCGACGTGCGCGCAGACCAGAAACCGGAACCTTCTTGGGGGGGGGGGGGGCCTACTGCAAAAACACTGCACTCATAAAACCTCAAACTAGCCATTTTTAAGTCAGTATTATATGGAGGACTCAGTGCACAGCTACGCGCTCAACAATGTGTCGAATACACAGTAGTTTTAAGGGCTTCATTGTCTGAAGAGGGCACACAATGGATTTTGTCATAATTTCAAACAATTGGCCTACAAAGCTATTTTTCCGTCACAACATTGAAAAGCCTTCCTTTTTTCGGTACGGTGTAAGTTCGCCCCGGGGCGAGCATTAGAGGGTTGAAAAAGACTGTAATTACAACAATTCATCTAAAAAATACAGTACATTGTGACCAATGTGCCCTTTTTGGTGGTTTTTCGACCGAAGCAAATCCAACCATCCAACCAACAGTTCGATCGATCGTAAAAAGCAAGTTGTAAAAAATAAAAAAAACAGTCGGTAAATTTACTTGATTTTTTTTGACATGAGCATCCACACGGGGTTTTATTCCTTTCGCTTCCAATGTATTGAATAATTGGATAATAATCGGCCTCATTTCTAGCCTGCATCGGAGATCGACTACGAACATTGGGCAAACTTCTTAAAATTCATGTTTATAGAATACAACAATCAGGGGTGGATCTATGAATTTTCGCAGGGAGGGTTTCAATACTGAAATGAGGCAGGTTTTTTTGTCAGGATACTTGGCTCAATAAAATCAATGGGGGGGGGGGGGGGGGGGGGCTCGTACCAAACTTGTAATGGGGCCGCTGTTCAAATCCAACGATTATTAATACTATAGTTACAGAATAGTGTACAAATACCCCGTAACTCAGCAGCCTCTGTCCGTAATTGTGCAGAGGCATATATTAATACCAGTACAATTGTTTTTGGTGTCGGAGGGGACGTATCATTATTTCTTTATGAAATTCTATGGGGGAAAATGACAGAGCTGGGAAGGGGAGTGACCCCCCCCCCCCCCCCTGAATCCGCGCCTAGGTTTGTACGGGTATAAATATTGTTTTCCGGTGCCGCAACTCATGCTTGCGTTTCTACGGTTACGGTGAGGAAATGTATCAATACAATACAATAGAAAAAGTGGACACTGTCAACATTAAATTGCTTACAAAATATCTGGATTTTTTTTTACCAATGCTCCGTTCTTATTCGGTAGATTATCAGTTTTATGACGTCATGTTTAACGGTCCGTAGCACGCACGATGATCGAAGCACGTGTAAAATAGGGCCAGGACTCAACGTGCATGTACACTCGAAGATTTAATGAGGCAAGTTCTGTCGCATTTTTGAGAGTCCATAGAAGGTCATTGATTCGTTTCCCACATTAGGATCACCTGTTTTTGCTTGACCAACCTGCTGTCTGTCATCTGAAACTGACGGAGTATTAACCCTAAAGGGGCCGGGTTATTTTGACCATCTCTCAGCCGGGGGGGGGGGGGGCGGATTCCGCCCCCCCCCCCCCTAAGATCTCGGCCATCGAGTGTCGAAAAATTTTGAAACTCAACACATGCATAGAGCAACTCTTCCTGAACATACCCAAGAAATTTCATGACTATAGGTCAAAGGGTTTTGGAATTATGGCTAATTAATTATTCATATGTACAAATGGCAATTCTGCTCTGTGTACACGACGTATATGCGAAAATTCAGTTTTCACGGCGCGTAGCGCCGAAAAATTTTTCGCTACGCGGCAACCCGTGGTCCGATTTCTATGTTTTTGGTATCAAAAGATGCGCAAAGCTCGAGGCTAAAAAGTCGTAACAGCTCGGGTCGCGAAAAATTTTTTTTTAGAAGCTATCACGGAAAATGTTGAGGGGGGGCGGATTCCGCCCCCCCCCGGCCCTTTTAGGGTTAACTGACTGACTATCTGACTGAATCACTGGATGTTCATAATGTCCTTAACTTAGACTTTTGAGACTGTACCAAGCCTGGTCATGTCAGAAACAGACTTCATTTTGCCACCGTGGCACCTACACCTGGATAGACTATAGGTAGCACGTTCTGAAATGAGGCAAGAACATATCCGGGAATCATCCGTTAAGATGTCTTCTCTTTTCAGGGGACCGAGAATATGCTGCCGGAACTGTACACAAATCTGTACGAATGGATGACGTCAGGCAACGTGGATCTCAAGTCTAAACGTAATGATAAGACTCAATTCATCGATAGTATTATATCATCATCTCTCAAGGGAGCAAGGTATTACATTTGTCTGAGATCGATTCATGTATCTAATGGCGAAAACCCCTATTTTGTAGTTTTGCGTAGCTTCAAACAAACGAAATTACAATAACTAAAATCGTCAACATTTGCATAAACAGATCTAAACATGTTTAATATTGTAACGCAAATGAGTGAGATTTGCTATGCGGTGCGAGCGCGAGCAGGCGCCAGCAAGCAATCAGTGTCTAACTATAGAGGGCGCTACTGCGCTAGTTGCACACGTTTTGCACAGCGGCAGTGCGAGTTCAGACATCGTCGGAAGCGGACGTGCGGAGTGCTGAGCTCAGGTATTGGAGGCTACAGTGTGCGCTACCTCAATTCGAGCGTGGGCCACTGTTAGGAATACTTGAGTAGGACTGCGGTGGGATGCCGATAAGGAAACTAGGGATTAGTTTCTGGTCCGTGTACTCGGGGAAGGGAGTTATCTTACCTTTGGAAACCAAGGGGGAGGCACTCGTAGCCTCCAGAGGCTACAACGGGAGGATCCAAACTAGTAAGAGGCGCGTCAATCGCTGGGAGGCGGCACAGCTGGTGCTTGGCGGATCAGAGGCGCTTATTCATTTATTTATTAACTTATAACTGGGAGGTTCAAGCAGCAGCAGTGATCGTGCGATAATTAAAGGTCACATCATCATTATTTTTTGGTCCCATTCACTCTTGTCCTGTCTGTCCCCGAGGAGGTTTACTGAGGGTCCAGTCATTATAGCCCTGTGCATTAGGCGGTACATTTCCGCCCAACGGGCCTACTGCACCGGTCTTGGGTCTCTTGAAGGAGGTACCACACCTGCCGGGTGACCGCCGGGGGGGGGGGACAAATCGTCCGGGGGAATTTGGTAAATCCGCTACAATATCATGACTCCGTACTCGGTTACGGCTCACTGGTAAAATTGTATTTTACTCAGGAGGTTTTAGGATAGATAATTTGTAAATCAACATACCTTCTTTGAGCTTCTTTGAATTTATATTACTCGGCAAAACATCACTCTTTACACTTTCACTTATTAATATCCGCAGGTCACCATCAAAATATGCAAAGGAAATCTATAAGATTCACCAGTATGTACTGACACAAGAATTAGACGGCGATCCATACTCAGGATACGGGTTGTTAGCGATAACTATTAACTCTGGATTTGTAGAAAAGGTAAATTTGACCATCGCCTTTGGTCTTTGATTTTACAATCACTAATTATTCCTCATGTTGAAAACATATCAACTTACACAATCGAACCTGATTCGTTTTACCATTCTTTTGTAAAGATGAAAAAAAATATAGTAACAATTTATAACTGCTGAAATGTACAATGCAGGAAATGTTCAAGCTGCATCATCAACAATATCCATTGTGATCCCACCGCTGACACCAATTGTCAATAAGTTTCTGTTGTTAGTCATTTGCCTACAATTCAGAGCATTTATATACCTCAAACTCGATGAACAGAATTATGGCAACCAGCGACTGATCAGAGACTTCGTGCCTGGGGTGGTCAAGATGCTCAAATGTGACAACAAGCAGCTGATGATGAACGCTTCATCCTGCATCACATGCTTCCAACAGCAGGGTGACCTGCTGGCCCCGTACGCAGATGACGTCATGGAAGCCTTTCTTGACGAGAAAAGTGACCTGTTGGGCCGTAAGTTGTGTTCTATTGTCTATCTACAGTGTTGTCGTCAGGTCCATTACAAGTCATGTCATAGGTCGACTCACAAGTCTGGTCGCCAGTAGTAGTGGAGAATGAACAACAACAAAGGAATGCTTTTATGGTCACAGTATATTTGAATAGCTAATTTCTTGGACTGGGTGACATGTGATGGACTTGTAGGCATTTGTGAAGGATCGACTACAACCCTTCGTTATGAACTGTTGTACTCATTAAATTGATGACACAATACAAATTTGAGTGACCATTGTTACAACTGATAATGTAGTAACCAACGGATAACGTATCACCAACCGATAATGTATAACACATTGACCGATATTGTATCACTAACCCATAATGTAGCAAAAATCGACTGATAGTGTAGTAAAATTTGTATCCGATAATGTATCACGTGTCAACGGATAATGTAACTACAAAATAACTGTATCCGATAATGTATCACCACGGAACGGATACTGTATCAACCGATAATGTATCAAAAATCAACCGATAACGTATCAGTATATTTAGAAATAATAATAATAATAATAGTAATAATAGGTGGAAATATTGCAAATTAATTAAAGTCTAATAGGTGTCCTTGCCATGATAAGTCCCCACTCGGGAAAGTTTATCATTAAGAATATTTTTAAACTGCATTCGCACATCCGCGCCGAAATGTGGACAAGTTCTTTTCTCCGGACACTTGGCGTCCGTATGGGCTCCGTGCTCCAACCCAAGAGGTCGCGTTTTACCACTTTGAGAGCATCATGTATGGAGATAAATGGACGGGACACAGCATGTGCGAACTGTACTGTACTGGTTCGCGCGCAAAGTTCAACGCCACTTCCAGAATGTGCCAAGGCTATTAGCCGCAGCGTCTTCGCATGATTGTCAGGCAACGTCGGCGCGCGCATACGTTCAATTTAATATGCGATGGTCTCACAGACTTTTCCCTCCCCAAATAACTTTGCATCATTCAAAATACGCAGTGGATGGACTGGAACCAGTCTAGGTCCTCCCCCCCCCCCCAACTCTCCGTTTCTGGCCGTTTAAAGGGGCACTTGTGCTCCATGGTGAAATAAAAAAAAACTGAGGGGGGGGGGGAGCTGGAGACCACATGACACTGGGGTCGCTGTTCATGATACAGATGTATCAGCGCATTTCAAGCTTTTTGTGCTTTTTCTCCCTTTCTCAGTACTATTTAATGCATTTCGGCGGTTGGAAAGTTTGAAAAACACCTCAAAATCTGCCTTTTTTTTCTCTCAATACAAAATAATGGGGGTGGGGTGATCCAATAGCCCAGACTCCTTTCCCCGGTCAAAAAGTGGGGCGGGATACATAGCACATAAAACAAACATTTGTGTACACCTTTTCCCCGTACTGATACATTATCGGTTGATTTTTGATACATTATCAGTTAATTGTTGGTACTTTATCGGTTGATACAGTATCCGTTCCGTGATGATACATTATCGGATACAGTTATTTTGTAGTTACATTATCCGTCGACACGTGATACATTATCGGATACAAATTCTACTACACTATCAGTCAATTTTTGCTACATTATCGGTCAGTGATACAATATCAGTCAATTTGTGATACATTATCGGTTGGTGATACATTTTCCGTTGGTTTCTACATTATCAGTTGTAACAGACCATCATGTTATTTATTGTATTCGTATCTAGATTGTCTGAAGCCCTTGTATGGAGCTAGCCCGGAGAAGATACTGAGTAGATTTGATCAGCTTGCTGAGGCAATGGAAGACATGAATCCGACCAACAAGACCTACATCTACATGATGTGGGACGACGTAGCCAAAGACAACGCAAAGGTAATTAGAAAGCTTTCATTACATTTTCATTTATAAAACTTGATGCTAAACATTCAGCGAATAAGGATAACATGAATGGTAGTTCTTTCTGAAGGAATGAATACTCGAATTACGAATGAATTAAGTATATTTATCCACAAAACAACATCTTCTTGAAATGAACAAAGACCTTTTTAGTGTTTTGCAGATCTGGTTTCCTCCCAGTTATTGGAAGCGGACAAGTTCGGTCTTGGTAGCTTTCCAAATGATTTTCTGCAAATACAGCGGACTGCATAACTGAAGCTAAATTATATGCAACAGACTTAAGGAAATTACGAAGTATCTTTTCATCATAAATTGAGGATGCCTATTTCATAAAATTAGTAAATAACATTTACGGGGGCAGATACAGCTCTTTTGAAGGGGGGGGGGGTCATGCCTATCAGATTTGTTCTTTCTGATTGTTGCGGACAGGCGGACATAGGTATTTAATATGTACTACAATTGTCTTAATTTTTGTTGTGGTGTCTTAGCATGGGTGGATGGAGGGGGAGGGTTCGAATCCCTCTCCCTGGATCCGCGCCTGATTAAAATGGTACAATGATTGAATTTGTTGATTAGAAATAGAAAGCAGGCTAAAAAAGTGCATTAATGTGCAAGACATAACATACACCAATGAAGTTTCGATAAATATTTACTATAAAGATTTAGAAAAAAATGACTGCAGAAACTGTTTTTGTCACATCATTAAAATCTCAATAGTGAATTCGATTTTCAATTTTCCACTCAGTTACTCGTGCCTCACTTGGACCTGATGATGGATGACGTCACAAACGCTCGATTCTGCCACCAAGTGGTAATAATCCTGGGAACCATGTCGGTCAAGTTCCCGGGTAAGTTTGTCGACAAGATCGACAAGCTGGTGAAGGTCGCGAAGCAGACACCGTATACCATCCACGCGGTGTCAAAAATTGTGGCGAGTGTCGGTCAGATAAACGAGGTAAGACATGTATTTATTATTGTCCTCAAGTGTCACTTTAAACAAGTCAAAAGTATACCAAACTATACCGTATACAGAGAACGAAACAACGTATTTCAAAAGTCGATGGATGCATGGATAACCTGTTGCAAAGAGATGTGCACAGTGATATAGATTGCTTGATTAAACGTACACAAATAAAAAGAGGTGTTCCCAAGTCCACACAAGTAAAAAATCAATCACAAGCCATCCAAAGTCAAGTACAGTGACAAGTCAGTCAAATGACACAGGTATTCCTTTGTCATTATTCATACCCTTTGAAGATGCCACCTGTGATACGAAAAGTGATTGTGTGGTTTGAACCGAGATGGAATTTTCATACAAAATATTATCTGCCGATACTCTCACACTCTCAAACGTGCTGGGTGGGATTTGACCTGGATTCCTGGTCGTCTTTGCCCGGATAGTTTTCAGGGTCAAAATGACACTCTTATTTTAAAGACACTCTTCAGTGTCAAAATGACAATTTTGCCAAGGTTTCCAGCTCAAATATTTGACCTTTTGACCCAAAAAACTGTCATTTTGACCCGCAAAAGTATTAGGTCAAATCAGACCCTGTAACTAAACTCTTTTTTAATAACCCCATGAACTGGTGTCCTAATGCAGAAACAAGCCGAACGTTGCATGAAAATTCTGGTCGACAAACTGAAGACCATCGAGGACATGTGGCTCAGTGTCATCATGATGGATATGAAGCGGATCGGTCTCAAGCACGTGGAAGTGTTGAAAAAGTACCGGGCCGACATCGAGCCGTTCATGAAGAGTCAGGCCATGCGTGTACCCGATATGGTGCAGAGCTTGATTGATTTCATGGATGGACGCAGGTGAGATTATTCGGGGAAAGTAGGCAAACTGGTTAAACCTCTATGTTCCGACACCCCTATGTTGCGACATCCCTACGTTCCGACTGCTCATATTCCTATACCCCAACCCTAACCGGGAGTAACACAATCTTATGTTGTCGGAACATAGAGGTGTCGGAACATAGAACAGTCACTGTAGAGCAGTCATCGCCAGACTAAGGAGAGATGCCATTCAGGATCAAGAGGGTTGGATAAAGAAAACAGGAAAAACAACTTGAAATCGAGTTCATAACATGAGTATCGTATTATTAAGTGATGAGTTTGCGGGAACACCCTCTTATTAATCTCTTCTGTGCAGATGTGTGCAACAGGACTTCTTCAAAGAGCAACAACTGTTATTGACAAAATAAATTACCTCCATGAGAACAGATTAATTTCAATCTTACCACCCTGTATTATTCCACGATGCAAAGTTTCAAACCATTTGATGTTCTTGTTTTTACTTTACAATGGTGAGTTCTTGTCGCATGTTGTCATTCCGGCCTCAACAAACTAATTGAACAACTTTCGAAGAAGCTAGTCGACATGATTTTGACATTAGTAAAATTAAAACTTCACCAGTTGGACCAAGATAGACATATCCAATTTAGTCTCTGGTACCGTCATTCCAAATCTTTGAAGACACACTCCTAATCTCAAACACATCTCCAGCAAAACATATTTCTTGTGAAAAGTTGCGCACATGAATCAGTTTTATTATAGTTCTCTCATAATTATCATTCATCATCATCATCATTGGACGGCCGGAGCCGAGGTGGATGCAACCAAACTCTTCCAGACTCTCTTGTCCGCATTGGCCGTGGTGATGTCATCAACGTGCTGACTTACATAATTGCATACTTAGTTGAGGGGTCTCCTCTCTCTGTTAGGGCAAGGCAATCTCCAGCAGATAACGTCGGAGACAACTTGCTCTTTGGCTCTATAGCAGTGGCCGGCAAGGCGTGCTCTGCGTTGTGCTATTGTAGTTGAGAATTATCATTCCCAATACCACGAAGAAAACACTTTATTGAAAAGCACTGATTTCCAATTAAGGCTGATATTATTTCTTACTCAGTATACGGAAGACATTTTTCTACTGCTTATGGCCAATGCAGTTTGATTTTTTTTTGTGGTTCTTCAAAAATTATTGGCACAATGTCCCATCCCATTTCTTAGTAATGTCCACGGTTTTTCTGAACAAAAATGTGAAATCTAGTCTTCTCCATATTTCCTTAGCCTGGAAGCGCTCGCGGATGACGTGGAAGACGTGAAGGAGGACGTCCAGAACCTCGACGACAGAGTGACTGAAACGGAGGAGAATGTCGACCGGCTCGACAAGACGGTGACTGAGCAGGGCCAGGAGATCGACAATGTCAAGAATGAGGTGACGGAGCAGGGACAACGACTGGGCGACCTGGAGGAGGTGGTTGATGATACCATCGTGAGGGTGGACGAAATAGACCGCAAAGTAAGTACAAAAAGGTGGTGTGCCAAGAAGTTCAGAGCCAACTCACTCCGTGAAATCATAATTATGTGAAATGTAATTGAACACAGTCGTATAAATCATGATCCATTCAAGAACAATGTGAGACAGTTTAAGGATGGGCGTTATTGGAGGCACGCCCATAAAGAGTGTGACTGACATATACTCGAGTTACCGTGCATTCGTGTGTCTCACAACTTGGTGTTTGACTGCGTCATTCTCAATCTGCCAGACAATTACCAATGCTCCAAAGTGGTCTCGGGACATCGCCAACCTCCTGAACCCCGAGCACGAGCACGACTGGCGTTTCCTGGCCATTCGCCTGGGCTTCACCGGCGAGGATGTCCGTAACTGGGCCCTGTCTCCGGACCCTACCATGGCCATCCTGGCCGAGTGGTACACTATTCATAAGAGTAGTGAGGCGACTTTTGCCATCTTGACGGCGCTGCAGGACATGGGGAGAGACGATGCTGCGACCATCGTGGAGGAAGCGCTACAAGCCGCCGGTACGTTTACTTTCAGTTTTCAAACTCCTAATGCCAACAACGACTTGGACCCATTTTAACCCTGCGCAGCGTTTACAAAAACACTTTACAACAACTCGTCAACTGCTGCCCGCTGGAAAGATAATTGACTGGCGGCTGTGGTATGCAGTTGTATGCAGTTATGAAGGGAGATGGCTGTGTCAAGTTACAGGTCTTTGTTGATGTTTCAATGAGACTTGGCAGGAGGCCTGGTAGAAAGTTTGTTGACACAGCCTGGGTGAAGCCCTGGCTGCAAAGTTCATTGAACCAGCTTATTTGGCAAGGGTCGAATGAGAATTAGATGGAAGGTGACCGTCATTGGCCCTCAATTTTTTTTTTCCAAAAACAAATCGGTTACCTGGGGCCCAAAGGGTAACAGGTCACTCTGCGCAGGGTTTTAATGAACCATTTAGTTTTCCCCTGTGTAAATCACAATATAGCTCATTTTATGTCTCACGTTATTGCACAAGCTACGTAGGACTAAACACGGCATTAAATTGATTAATGCCAGCTATAATGGAGTGTTTGATTGCTGTATTGTGCCTATTATAATGAATAATGCAATCATATAAAAGGTACAAAATATACACAGTTCATTTGATTAGTTTGTGACTTGACTTATGACTGGATGACTAGTGATTGATTTGCGATGACTTGTGACGAATTATGATCACTTGTTTAACCTGGGTCCAACTTACGGAGGCACTTAGGGGCCTCATTTTCTTGAGGGGACACTCAGTGACATTTTTAACAAAAAAAATAAACAAACTCATTTTGCCTGTTCTAAATTCTTAGCGGGGGGGGGGGGGGGCGCAATAGGGGAACGGGCCTCGAGCGGAGGGGGGGGGGGCACGTTCCCCCGTCCTCGGTAAATGTTACGCCACTGCTTACGCCATGACTTGTGATGAATTATGATTGACAAATGATGACTGGTTGATATCTGTCATACCACGTCTGTAGATAAAGTGGTCCCTAAGGCTGTCCCGGACATTTCCGAGAAGCCTCCGCGTGTTTTCATCAGCTACCAGTGGGACCATCAGCCCGAGGTCAAGGTCATCAAGGAACACCTGGAGAAGGCAGGTTTCAACTGTTGGCTGGACATTGGTCAGATGGGAGGCGGGGACAGCCTCTTTGCCAAGATCAATGAGGGGATGAGGGCGGCCAAGGTGGTGCTGTGCATGTGCACCGAGAAGTACTCCAAGTCTGAAAACTGCAACAAGGAGGTAGGTCCTCACATGCGAGAAAATAATCACATGAGATTAGAAAGGACCTCACCGTCGAAGGGAGTCATCGTTACATTTTGTTTCTTGGATGGGAAACAGCCATACTGGTTTCTCATTTACTTCCAGAAAGTAGGTGGAAAGATCGCACCGTTTGCTTAAGTTTGCATAAACAACACACAGAAGAACACAATGAAAGGCCGTCAATTTTTCCTTGAGATGCTTTTTCCAACCTAAACGCCTCTGAATGAAAACGTATAATTTTCCATAATCAGGTGAATTTGGCCAACCTGTTGAACAAGCCCATCATACCCGTACTGATCGAGAAGATAGACTGGCCTCCATCCGGCTCCATGAGCATGCTGTTCGCCCAGCTGCTGTACATTCAGTTCTTCACTGACAAGGAGTACGTGAGAGGGGAGAAGTTCTGGGAGGATGCCAAGTTTGCTGAGTTGCTGGGCCAGATCAGTTATCACGTGGCCCCCGACGAGGAAATGATTACTGATGGTAAGTAGATGTTCATTCGGTGTTAGTAAAATTATTTCGTCAATGAGAAGTAGAATGAATGTCTGAGTATCGCTTTGAAACCATGTAATGTAAACGATTAACAAATCCTGTAGGCCTCTGTACTGAACTCAGCCAGTCACTGCATCGTGGATAATAACCATGTCTTTTGTATAAACGGGGTCAAGTTGTATTTATTGTTCAGTTATTTGAGGAAATGAAGACTTGAACAAATTATGTAATCGAAAACTTCAAAAATGAAAAATCCGTACGATATCAAAACAAACTCAGGGTGACCGGAAGTAAAAACTACTTTATGGAGAGTTCATCTAGACTAATAGCAGGACTGCTTGTTGATAGTTTATTGTTATCGGCATTTGTATCTTTTCCAACGCTAATTTCAATTTGCTTCTGATTGAAACCCAGACATAGGATCACTGACTATATTCCTTAAGATCGGTTTGTTTCCGAGAAGTGTCAAGTTTTCTATAATGACATGGATAATTATGCGTTCTGTTAATCACAACATATGTTCTTTTGTCATTTCAGAATATCGTAACTGGGTCCCACAGATTGATGATCTGCCGAAAGTCGTCAAGACAGCGAACGAGAAGAAGTCCACAGACGACAACACAAAGTCTGAAAAGGTAACAGATCAGGTACAGATGCATTATTTCTTTGTTTGATACAACAAACCAGAATTATTATTTGAGGAATTGGCGGCAAAATGAAATTTTAATGTGCTGACGGCAAAGTTCGATGTATAAGTAAATGTAACACAATGCTATACAGTAGACTATCAGACTATCAAATATATCGATTACCATGCTGTAACACGATAATATCATTTCTCAGGCTTTTGTATCCGAAACAAGTTTGAAATCCTCTCTTGATGGCAGTGTTTAGTCGAGTCAATCACAAGTTATCACAAGTCCATCACAACACTGAAGTCAAGTCGCAAGCTTTTCAAATGAACTGCAACACTAGTATTCTTCCGTGAAAGTTCATCCCCTGTAACTTGTGACTGGACTTATGAAAGGACTTGTGATTTGTGACCGGACTTTGACCGGATGGATTCGTCATGGACTCGACTGTAGCACTGCTTATCGCTGCAGTTCATGGAACATTCTTTAAACTCTTTTTCTGTGTCTGATCAGGCCCAAGAGATCATTCCCCAAGTGTTCATCTCGTACCAATGGGACAAGCAGACGGAGATCAAGACACTGTACTCCAGACTGACTTCGCTCGGGTTCAGTTGCTGGCTGGACATCATGCAAATGGGAGGCGGTGACCCGCTCTACTCCAAGATTGACAAAGGCATTAGAAATGCCAAGGTGAGTGACCTTCAAGACTCATGGAAATGGTCATCCTTGTAGGTTTGGCGCTACAACTCATCAGAAAACTTATCTAACAGGATTTTAATTTATGTACTTTGATTTGTTTCTTTAAAATACAAACAAATCTGATATAAAAGGGTCATATGGAATTGTAATTTTCGTTCCAATAATTGGATGTATATGTTGGACAGGAATATCCATGAAGTGTTTAACAAAAGGGACGACAAAATCTTCCTGATAAAAATAGAATGCTTCTCTAAATTTTCAATTTGTTTCTTGTCGAAGGTTGTGGTCTCCATTGTGACCCCCAAGTACGCCTTGTCTGCCAACTGCCGTCGCGAGGTGAGCCTTACAGATGCTCTCCGTAAACCCATCATTCCGCTTCTCATGCAGCGGATGACGTGGCCCCCTGAGGGACCCATGAGCATGCCCTTTGCCCAGCTCCTCTACATCGATTGTACCGGTGAGTCCACCCAGAAAGAGTTCAGGGATGCCAAATTTGACGAGCTGGTGCAGAAGCTTAAAGAGCACGCAACTGTCGAGGATACGGTAGTCCAAAGTGCGCCACCTAGCGACACTGAGAAACCTGAGATAGAGGAGGCAAAACAAGTAGAAGAGAAGAGTCAAAGTCCACCAGCTGCTGAAAATATTATAACACCGGAATCAGAGGAGAAAGAGGATCCTGCTAAACAGAACCAACCGCCAAAAGAAGAAGCCAAAGAAGATCAGAAGCTGGAACCAATAAGCACCGAGGACCCAGCAAAGTTGTCAGGGTCCACGGTACCTCAACAGAACCAACCACCAAATGAAGATGCTGACGAAGATCAGAAGCTGGAACCAATAAGCACCGAGGACCCAGCAAAGTTTGCAGGGTCCACGGTACCTCAACAGACCCAACCACCAAAAGAAGATGCCGAAGAAGATAAGAAGCTGCAACCAATGAGCACGGAGGACCCAGCAAAGTTTTCAGGGTCCACGGTACCACAACAGACCCAACCACCAAAAGAAGATGTCGAAGAAGTTCAAAAGCTGGAACCAGTAAGCACCGAGGACCCAGCAAAGTTTGCAGGGTCCACGGTACCAGAAGTGAGGCCTCAGTCAGTGATGGGTCCTAAGCATGCCGAGGTTATCCAGCCGGAACGGAGTGTCTCTGCCCCGAAGGAAAGAGCAAGACCTGATTCGCCAAAGAAGAAAAAGAAATCATCCGTGTGTGCAATAATTTAAATAAAGAATAAAACGTTTTTTGTGTACGTTATAAGGAGTACATTGTAGTGAAAAATATTTAAATTGAAATACGTTGTGTTTTAGGTTGTATTTTTAAATCTCGTTTTGTCATGATGGTAAAAATCGAAGAATTCAGTAGCTTTGTGGGGAAAATGCTGCTATCTAAACACTTGTATTTTATAGGTGTTTATGGAAAATTTCTCTAACTAAGTTGCTCTTGTTTCAAATTAGTTTAACGCTAAAGAGCCAGAAAACATAACAGTTTCTATGCATTAATCTAGAAAGAAACCATTGTTATTGTTGTGTTTATTACGGGTGTGTAGGGACTTTCACTGAAACATAAATTTAGTTTGAACCTCAATGTTTTTAACTGTTTATACAAAGGATATAATACAAATGTATACATTTGACACTTGTTATATGCATTGATGACACGTGGAGATACAGAAGTGTTAATTGCTTATTTGTGGTTTGCGTGTATTGCTTATTTGTGGTTGGCGTGTCAGTGGACTTGTTTTTTACATTTCCTCTTTGTCAGCTTTTTAGAATTAATCAAAACCTTTGTAGCTTTTACGACAGATATTATATGGAAGCCGTTACTAAGTTTGATACCTTAATTTACTAGGGCTCTTTAATTTAATGTCACGTCGATGGTCTCGTTTACAGTTGTGCAAGCAAGATTAGACTTTAGTTAAACGCAGACACTATTAAAGCACAATAAAAAAATTCTAAAAAACCACAAGGGAAATATCCAGCTTGGCGAACAGCCAATATGATATGATATGCCGGAACGGTAGAATCCGAAGTTTGCAGGTTATTCAGACCCTGCTCCAGTCAATTTCTTTGTTCAACTTTAATTTGATTAAATACGAATCCCAATGCACTACATTTCCGTCTTGCCTCATTCCATTTCAAATATCAGATAAAAAAAGTTAATTCAGTCGTGTCCAAAGAAAAACTACTGAAAACTAATAAGTACCGGTATCAACAAGAGCCTCAATCCATGTACATCCATCCATGTACTTAGGTGTTAAGTTAAAACATTCATTCAACATTAATTTATTACCACAAATGAGGACTGCTTCCGTTTCTCACTGTATTCCGTTTCTCACTGTATCCAAGACCATCCTTGAATGGAATCAACTTCATCCTAACATCCGCTCTGCTCCTAACATTAAGACTTTCAAACGGTCTCTGGACAACATCCACATCTAAGACTTGGTTTCTAAAACTCAAGTAAGAATTAAGTTGCTGCACACCTGACCCTGACCAACGTATGTCGACTCGGACAACCTTCTGGGTGTTTGTATGTCATGGAACAGAACAATGTGTTAGTGTCCCTCACCGAAAAGTGCGAAAGCGTCCACGAATAAATGAAGTAATAGAAATATGTTTCTAAGACAAAAAAAAAAATCCCCGTGAAACTATTATGAAACTTTTGAATATTTATAAGTGTACCTCATGTTCAAGATTTTTGAGGCACGGTTTGTTGAGTGTGAAACTAAAACTTAATTTGATGGGCTGTTTTTCAAACTTACTCACAATACCGACGAAAGCACAGATAAAGTCTCTTAGGCCAAAAAAAAATCTCCGGTTTCTGGTATGCGCGCGCGTCGCCGTAGCCATGCGCGTCGGCAAAATGAAAAAGTTTTTTTTTTCAATGAAAGATGATGTCTCAAAACCGCCAAACTCACTGGTTTTACTGGAATCCTGCTGCAGCACAATTTTAACGTCTTTTTAGATTGGGTTATGGTCGAGAATAAGCTTTATGTGGCCTCTCTGGACTCCCGTATATTTGCACTAAGTTTAGTCGGGCACCATTTGCAGTCATCAGCACACATTTGAAGCAAAAAAATCAGGTAAAAAGAAAAAAGCCGCGTCGCCGCACCACTTTTTGGGCGAGCTCCATACCAGAAACCGGAGACTTTTTTTTTTGGCCTTAGCATGGTTCCCATGAAACGTTAGTCACTAAAAAAACAAACACAGATATTTGAAACAACGTGATAAACATACTGCTCAGTTTATTATGTTCATGAAACAGCAAGATATGAAAGCGAGCTTGCCGTGTTCATTTGTGTGCGGATGTATAAATGCAGATATTTGTAATTGTACATCATGGAGAATCTCGCAATAGTTTTATACTGTAGCTCAGGAGCACTAAGTTATTTCGACGATATGCTTTATTTTCATAATTTCCTGACTAAATAGAAAATAGTCAAAAACAAATCTGAAATAATACTAATCATCTTATTTTGACACAATCATCTTTAAATGAAACAGGCTCGTCGCTTTTTCATGGTGTTTATAATGACGCGAGAAACTGTATACCTTTATACTTAATATATACATGTATTATAAATATACGAGAAACAATAATGAGAGACATTTTACCCCAAAAAGTGTAAGGACATTTTTTAATCAATATGAATTGAAAAAGTGCACTTAATGGTAAGACGTTTTGTGAACGATAAGCCTATGAGGGTAACATATAAACCAGTAATATCTTTTCTTCTTTTTTTTATTCACGTGTTTTGTTAGCTTACGGAATAAAATACGAGTGTCTTGAAAGTTTATAAATCTTGCGGACAATGCAATTATTATTTACAGCCCGCAAGGCCCCCAAAAATCAATAGTCCGTCTCTGGTCAGACCAAAGTTCCGGAATTGATGCGGCGATGCGTTTTTTTGGGGGGGGTCTTTTTTTAAATTTTGGATTGTACAGACAAAGTTTGACTATTTTGCCTGTTTATGTCTTCATACAAGGGCGGATCCAGGGGGGGCCAAAGGGGGCCATGGCCCCCCCCCAAAAAAAAAACGAAACCGTTTTTGTTTTTGTTTGTGTGACACCGCAATAAAGGCAGGCAATGAGTACACCACCATCTTTTCCTCAAAAAAACATTGGTTAAAGTGGTCAGAAATTGCCTCAGATCGCACCACAGAGCATCTACAATCCAAAAAATGTTCGGGGCCCTTAAGCGGGCCCCGAATCCCACGCCGTAATTTTTTTGACCCACTTTTTTGGGGGACCAAATTTTTTTTGGCCCCCCCCCCCCAAATGGTGTTCTGGATCCGCCCTTGTCTTCATATAAGTTGGTGCCCTCCATCATTTGCCTTTGTGCCCTTGTGCTCCTTGGTTCGAAACTTGGAGGCGGTTTGGCAATAAAGGGCGCTGTTGTATCTACCGCGGACAATTTGAAAAAGAAAAAAAAAACGATTGACGCGCATGATCAAAATTGACGCGCGCGCTGACCACCGACCGACTATATTTTTTATCAGTTTGGCCTAATGCTTTTACTGAGTTTTTAGGCTGTCTTCGCCAATTTTCGCATGTGGTTCCGCCTCTTAACACGCGGATCCATGAAATTTGAAGAGATAATTATGAAACATTCAAAAAATAATTTTAAAAGAAGGCAATTGGAATAAATGTTGGAATTATGACTTTGGCTTGATCAATCGATCAATCTTTTTATTTTCTGATTTATCGGTTTAGGCGAAAATGTATATGACAGATTTCTACCAGTTATTTAGAGGACATGCGACACAACAAAAGCGTATATTACAGGTCCAATAGTTTCATGCAAATCGAAAGTTAAGTTTCCCGTTGGCCATACATATGCCTACTCGTAAACAAGCTGGGAAGGCCTGAATTCGTCATCGCATTCAGGAACTCCCCCGAAAAGCGATCGGGAATGCAATTTGCATAAGAAAGCCCCCTCGCTCACAATATAAGAAACGACAATGACAAACGGAAGGTCACCCTGCACTGCACACATACCCCGGTACGTTGACTAGGCGTGGTATGAACCGCAATGCAAGTGAAACAGACACGTTGAATGGACGCAGTCATGCGGAACAAGCGAGTTGGCGTTCAGTCATTTACCATTTTCATACCGTCCGCCATTTTGCACGTAATTGGCAAGCAGTGTGTACTAGTACCACCTGATTATGAAAAGGCTCTAATGAGATATAACTGATAACAACCTCTCATAAAGACAGACGCCCTTTGAAGCCTTCCATTGTGGCAGAATCGTTCTTCAACGAGCACTGTTACATGATTTCGTTGTCAATGGATGTTTCTCCTGTGGGAGAACCCTTTTGACGAGGATATTGACGTACATTGTTTTTGTAGATTCAATATTTGCAGTTCATCAGGGATATCTCCGGATAACCCCCGTCCCTGAAGAAACAATGGACGGTCATTGAAGGAGATTCCAAACGTCAGCGAGTGTCGGAAAGCCACCAAGGTTTCTGGCCTTAGAATAGGCAACAGCTTTTCTTTGTGTTCGGTGACATTCTTGGAAATAAAACATTCGAAAGTGTTGTGGATTTTCTAGACATGGCGAACATGGATAATGTTAACGGTTCGGAAGGAGACGGGGTCCAAGCTCCTGCACCGGGCCCTGGAGGCAGGAGGTACCGAAAGAGAGAGCAGAAACGCGGCAGTGCGCAGTCTGGAGATTCCTCATCCAACACGGTAAGCCATGATAATGATGACTAACAATTTGTCTTAAAAAAAAGACAATTTACAGACCCTCCTTCAAAGACATGGTTTACAGTTGAAATCCTATCATTATTATTGGTATTTTAGCACAGTAAATTTAGCACATTTTGGCACAGTTTTTATGAAAGATAGCTTTTACTGATGGGTAATCCGTAAAGATAACGATGTTGTAATACAAACTAATGTAAGACGAAGTGTTATGTTGACATGAACACAATAATTTCTTTAAACACTGCTCCCCATACGTACCTCATGGGCCCTGCATATTTTAAATCTGAACAATACACATAATTAACTTTCAAATATATATATATTTTAATTGGGTTCGAGCGGTCAAACTCAACATTATTGTGTCATTAAGGGTAATAGGATTGTTTCGATGACTTCGAACGAAAACCAGCATAAAAATGCAGAGTTCAATAGACATTGCCCATTCATGCATTGTGAAAGGCATTGTCAGTTTTTTTTTACGTGCAGTATAAACCCTGACCCCGTCGAGTGATTTACTAAGAACCTTCCCCACTTACAAAATCCAACACCATGGTAAATTAATTAAAGTGAAAGAGATTAATGTTGAAAGGATATAATTGAAGGGAATATCATTGCAATTCACTATTTCCGTTTTGTTATTATTATATCGAACAGGTAATATTAATATTTCATACCAATAATTACAGACCTCACCTGCTTTACCTTATTATGCTAGAACTTGGAAGGAAGTGGGTTGCCGCGCAACGCCTTATATGCTACTCTCTTCATTTCAATATTTAAATGCAAGCTTGTGTGCGTTGTCGTCATTTTTAATATTTACATGTACACACAGCCACTGATGCAAGAGTACAAATACACGAAAACAATAGTACAAAATGATAATGTATGCGTAAATGTCTATCTTCTTGTCGCTGCATAGTAATCATAAAATACACATGTACATGTGTGTTTTATTGTGTTAAGTTTAATTCATTTAAAGGCAATTATCATTTGCTTTTCATGCATTTTGTTCGTTTCTAATAATAACATCACTCAAAATATAAAGAAGAATGTTCAAAACCTAACCTGTTGAAGTTTCAGCTCAGTGCATGTTACACTTCTCAAGAAAACAGAGAAAAAAACATGCTCAACCTTTTGATCACAAAAAACAAGTTCGTCTATGACCATCTTTATTTCCAACGATTGACTGATCGTTGGAAATCACCAACATTTCTTGATTTCTTCTAAATGACAGCAAGCCAGACGGAATCTTTTCACGCTGTGTTTAGTACCAGTATGGACTTCAATTTAATCTTCGTGAGCTTTATAAAATAAAATTATATAGGGCCTTAGTTACTTTTGGGATAAATGTATAGGCCTAAATGATCTTTAAGGGCACAATCATATTGCTCCAATGTCATGGCCGTGTCAAGAACTCATATGCTGTCGTGTTTTGGGAACATTACACAATATTGTCCGTACAGTTCGGACTACAAAATTTAAAAATAACTTTCAAAATTGGGCATTATTATATGCCAAGCAGATTTTGCGCGGGCGAAAGCTACCACCGTCAAATAAATGTCCAGCTAGTCCTCTATCGATGCCGGCCTGCATTCCACGCATAGCCAAAGTGTGAGAATTTTCCCAATGTTCAATGGACCGTTTAGGGTTGAATATCGCACAAACAAAGTTTGTTCCGGGTGTGCGTTTTAAAAATGGATTTAATCCCAGCGCGAGGTCACCGAAGCACAATCATATCCTGAACTTGCCAAGTATTTGTGACGTTTGTCGTGCAGTGCAACACCAAATAAGGCAGTGGTACACGGTTATTATGGAGTATGTGCTGCAGTTCGAGACCCTGGTCTAATCTTAACTCGCTAGATTAAAAGATTTAATTTTCTAGATTCAAAGGGACAGAAAAACTTAACCCTAACTCCCTAGGCATTTTGCTAAGAGGCAATCTCAATCCTGCAAAGTCCTTCAACTGCCTCCATGTAAAAATTGCATACAGCCATATTTCGTGAATGTGGTCCTTGGAAGGCTGACCACTGCCTCTATCCTGCAAAATCCTCCAGCAATCACTGTCAATATGCTGATGCAGAGCCCATGGTATCCTGGAGCTGCAGTGCGGAGAATTTCAAGTACATGTATAACCTAATGGGAAGGTTAGGGTTAATTGAAGACAACATCGCTCATTAGAAATTGTGCCCCTAAATGTATTTAAAGAGGTACTGCATCTACATTCTCTTACCAGCGGTCAACCGGTACATAATCTCGTGTTCTGTTTACATGTCGAAGAAGAGTTCCTCATGCTATTTTCGAGTTTCACTTTTTAACAAAAACATATTTGTTTTTTCAATTACTATTTTCCTAGCCCGATCAAAAGGTATTCACTTTTTAATGAGAAATCGAACGAACTCAAAATCCACTGACATTCAGTTTTAATGAATCGTTTCTTCACAAAATTTGAATTATTGTCTGCCAGACAATAATTCGACTCACGCTGGGCAGGTTAATTTGCGCACAAAATGAAAACAGAGTTGCAGATGCCCAAATCGAAACAAAGTAGATTTTTCGTTAAAACAAACAAAACAAACAAATCGAAAAGTCATTAGGAGAAGGAAATTTTTTTTTTAAGAGCACGGGGTTTAAGATCTTTAAATAGAATCACATATGCATGCGTTTTATTGTGACTTGATGTTAAGCTGTGCGTGGATCTTGTAGTATTTGGAGAAAACTTCGAGTTGTATTCTTCAGAAAATCATGACTTAAAATGAAGAACTTAGTAAACCGTAAATACATCTTGCACTAACCTTCTCTGCTGCATCTTTGGTATACAGTGTACATCTCCCTGTCATGACTCGGGCAGACGTGATATTGCACGTATTATTATGGCAAAGAATACAACAATCGATAGCGAAGTTCTTTTAACAGATTTACGGCACTATACACACAGGGGGTCTACCCGATGTTCCCCAATACCTATGTTCCCCAATACCTATGTTCCCTAATACCTATGTTACCCATAATCCTTAGGGTTAGGGTTAGGAAACTTAGGTTTTGGGGAACATACATTGTAGGTATGCACCCACACACAGCACCCCGATTGGGCAATGTGTTCAATGCACGTGTAGTCAACGTGTGTCAACAATTTCAGATTAGATCATAATCTGCCGAGACCAGTAAAACATTTTTTTTTTGCAGAACGTTTGATTAACGTTTTGGGAAATAAATTCGAGGGAAAATGTTGATTTTATACTACGATATACGTATACAGATGGTTAAAAGAGCTACTTCGTTTTTCTTTGTTTCAGTCTCAGAAAGGCGCGGACAGGGACGAACCTCCAACTGAAAGTGATGTCGAAATACAGGTAACCACGTTGCATTCATTTCTATCTTATCGTTGAATACTGTAGACTCACGTATCGGGGTAGATTGACTACGTATAATTCTTAAAGGGCCCATGTAATGTAATTTTTAAACGCTATCCTTAAAAATGCAGCTTTGTGTCCCATTTAACCTTAATTTATTAATTGTTTTACCAAAATCGGCCAGAATTTTGGATAGTTTGCTGTCGTTAATATCCTTTTCTTTGGTGATTCGTTGTTGTTGCGGTACATGACAGTAAGCCATTGAGCAAATCTTCTCACAAAATAATGTTTTCAATGAGCAAAGTTAATTGGGTTCACAATATGAACCAAAACAAATCCTACAGTAAAAAGTGTCTTCTTGAAACGGCATCAGCGCCCTCGACCTGTTACGGTCGATACTTGAAAACGTGTGTATCGAAAGAAAAGAATTAAAGGAAAGTGAACACGTCCTTTGAAGCTAAATTCGAAACGTCGTTTACATTTTAAATACACTATGGGACCATGTTTCTTCTAACTATCAGAGGATAAAACTCAATCGCCTGAGCGACTACGAAGTAGACAATGTCAAGATGGCCAATGTCTTCGGCAGTCCTCCTGAGAGTGGCCCAAAGCCGGTCAGCAGCTCCATGCGACTCAATCCTCTCTACGACCAGAACGGGACCGTAGAGGTGACAGCCGACCAGGCACAGGTAGCCAAGCTCCCCGATAACTCGAGCCAAGACTCGGTCGGCCAGGAGGCATCAAGCAGGGGCAAGAAGGGAACCTACAAGCGGCCCAAGAAAGGAGCCGACGAGGATGAGGAGGAATCACACGAGGAAAGGCCTCCAGAGACCAAGATTAACTACAGCAAGAACTTCAGGTTCGGGAAGCGGTCTGCGGACGGGGAGAACGGCGCGGCGAACGGCGTCAAGAAACTGGTAAGTGCAGTCGGCATCTTTTTAAGATTGGGTCAAGTTTTACAATGTGGTACCATATTCAATTGTACCTATTGTGGCTTATTGAAGTGTTAATTATAACAAGAAAATGAATAAATCCAGTATAGATGAAGATTAAAGGCGAAGGATCGTGTACCTTCAATCGAACAAGCTGATGCCAAGTGCGGTATCATGTACTGAAGTATTGATGCCGCTTTTAGGCAAAACTACTCAAGAACCTAAGGTTATTGGGAAGCCAGAATTAGCGTTGCGATTACCCTTTTTATAATGGTGTCGATAATACATGTGTGAATGCTAAATCAACCTTTTGCTATGCACGCTCAACTTAACTAAGGCCACTTGATAAGTACGAGTGTAAATATGACGTGTACAAGCAAGCGTCAATCATCATTTATCCTTCACCTCCCAAGAAAACTCCTTTGGTAAGGCAAACATTTGTGAAAACAAAGCAAAGATATTCCTTCGCCAATAAAGAAACTGTATTTCTAGCCTTCGCATTTCTGTTTATTTTGGGCAATTGTTGGAATTTGTGGTTTAGTGGAAGTTGTTTACAAAAAAACTGCATGCATATTGTTGTTTCAAATTTGCGTCCCTCATTGTAGTCTCTCTCTCTTCCTCCCTTTTTCTTTATTAGACTTCCTTTGGAGTCGTCATGCCTTCAAGAGTGAAACAGGTAGGTAGACACCAAGTGTTTTTGAAGAAAAAAATGCTATTAACCAACTTGGTTGTATAATTATTTAAATTGAGGGAAAGGGGAATGCCGAGAAAGTATTGTGTGCATGTGTCGACTGTGATCTACATGTACACCCTTTTGATCCTCCATTCATTTATAAGATTAAGTTAGCAACACGAATCGTCACATTCTCGTTTTGTAAGAATGAGGATCCAATTGTATGGACAACCGTCATAAAGATGTCATACATGAATATATATTTTCGAAATCAGTGTTCATAGATGTCAAAGTTTCATTGTTCCTTGGGTAACATTTTCAGTGATGACCTTTTGGTCTTAGTGCAGTAAAGTGTGAACTAATATACTTTATTCTAACTAGTCGGCTCAGTTATAAGGAAAATACATTTCTGGTTGACTTTTCAGAACACCATACCCAAGGATCAGTTAGTAGCGGCCGGAAGCGGGCCGAGCCAGTACGCGCTGGGGGCACAGAGCGGCAAAAGCAAGGCCGACATCGAGGCAGCCATTCGACGACACGAGATGCGAAGACGATGGAGATATGTCATCATTCTCATTCTTATCATTCTTGTCTTTGGTCTCATTCTTACTGTGGTCTTATACTTTGCCACAAGGGCTTCATAAGATTTATATACGCATTTCAGGGTTTGTACTTTGTACATCTCAGCGACATGCAGCATAAAACACGTGCGAAATACTCGGAGAATACTGCAAAGCAAAATTGACTGCAACGAAATTTGAGATCGGTTTACATGTACCGGAACATGTATATTAAATCTCATTTTTCTACCCATTTGCATGCATGATAACGCGATACTTCCCTTCGCTTCATCGCTTCATCATCGTAAACGTTTTGGTTGTTAAGTCTGAAACTAGAATGGGAAAAGGAAGTTACATGTATATTGGTTATTATTGATATACGGAGTTGTTTTTACATCAGTTTCATGGCAGAGATACATGCAGCCACGCCTTATTGTAAATGCATTCGTCACATACATTGTAACGCAGTGAATAAAGTCGGATTGCCGAGTTCATGCCTACGACTGCTACGCTTGATCTACATAATCTTTGTTATGGAGAGCATGTCAAATGAATAGTCTATTTTAATAATCTACAATGTATGAACCATGTACATGTAAATTTGAATCGCCATCATCACTGTAGAACGTGAGGGTGAAAAGATGTTTGTAATCTTGTTTTTACTTGTGAACAATAGTTTGTAAAGGCGATTCTTAAAAATACTTTACAAACCAAAAATGTGAAATACATTTAACTTTAACTGTTTTATTTACTCAAGTTATACACTTAGTCATTTACCTTTAGTAAGAATCGTGATTTTTCACTTAGCATCCTTCGTGGTGCAGTATGTACATGTATATTTTCATGTCTTTTCCAAGAAAGCCAAATGATTGTCGTGCTTATATATGTACTCAGCAATACTGATGCACATTTTTAGCAGAAGCTGAAATAATGTCTAAATGTACAACCAAAAAACTTTCTTCAAATTTGAACGAAAAACAACGGATTTTTTTTTTTATATATGACTCTTTCAGATGCAGAATGTTTTAATGCGAAATGATTTTAGCATGATTTTTTTGTATTAGAACTGTCGGATTTTTACACATGTACAGAGAAATTGGATTGTTATACTGATAAAGAAATATGATAGGAAGTTCCATTATTCCATGTTTTGAAATATTGGCCAGCATTGACCAGTGATGATGAAGTGTTAAATGCGGAAATTAGTGTGTTTGTCTTTTTTTACCAAGACGATATTTCGTTAAATGTTTCACTTTATGCAAGTTTGTGAGGTTTGTTTTGACGCATGCGCTCACATGTAATGCCGTTTGCAAAATATTGGAAATGTAACAATGTCTGTAAACAGATTTCTATTCCATAACATGAATGTAATCTGCACGTGAAGTGCCTTTTTTGCACAACATACATTGTACATGACTGTAGGCTGGCCTATAGAATTTTTTTTTCTCAATACATTGTACGTGTACCTCGGATTTGTCACATCATACATTAAGGTGGTCAAATTTGAATATAAGATTGATGGAAAGGTTCACTTATCCACAATGAGTTGAATATGTTACTGTTTGTTTGAGCTGTTTGTTCTATTCTTTATTCTGTCAAAACAAAATTAATACATTTTATTTACATTATACACAATTTATATTTCATAGGGTGATCTGTTATAGTCCTACTGTTGGTATGTACAGTAAGTTCAATTTCCATTAAAACTCAATAAAAAAAAAGCTTGATTGTCTCAAGTACTGATGTTCGTTTGCCATCACTAGTAAAACATTCTTAAAACGTTCTACATGTGTTTCATTTGGCAAATGACTTCTATAAAAACAATAACAATTAGACAAATTTATTTTCCATCATCCACTCTCAGATTTGTAACTTAAAACCCAAGGAGGATTTTTGAAACTTTTTTCAAGAATTTCGTTCTGTCTCGAATATAAACTGGAATAGCATAATATAAGTCAGAATCCAATAGATTGACTGCCTGTCAGTTTGGAACAAAATTGAAAAGTGTCGATGTTTTACTCTTATGTCATCAGAAAATATACATGATTATACTGAATACAATGGAACTTTTAGAAGTCCTACTGAAATTAAAGGGGAGTCTTTTAAAAGAAAATCACAAATCTTTGATAATTTGCCGTTTCAGCTATAAGTTGGCAGATTTTGAAATTAAAATTCAGTGACAATGAAATGACCAAGTGTCTAATTATGAAGAGCAGAAGAAAAAAGACTTGCCCTAGTTAGTTGCCCACAATGAGGGCGCTCTATTCAAAGGGTCTATGAATACATTCCTTCATCTTTATTTTTGCTCCAGCAGAATGAGCAGACTATAACATCAACAAGTACATGTATGTAAGCCTGACACAGTCTTATACGTGTACTGATGATTGTGCTGGCAAGCTAGTCTGCATCTCCATGGATCACATAGTCAATGGTGACGTCACTCTCTGACACTGGCACAGTGGCACACATCTGCTCTTTGAAAGCCAGTGCGATGGTCTTTGGCTTCCCGCCCGGGTGCTTAGCACACCGCTCTTGGTACTTGTCGTAGTATCCCTTGCCCTTCCCTAGTCTATCCCCACCAGTTGTGAAAGCCAGACCAGGTACGATAATTAGATCAAGACCTCCTTACACAAAAGACAAAACAAACAAATGGATTAAGATTTTAGGGACTGGTACTTTGTGACTGATTTGTGAAAGAAATGATGCCGAGTACAATTTTTAGCTGAATGTGCTTATTTAACTTTGTGTGAGTGAACACACCTGATGAATTCAGAGTCCTTTAACCCTAACCCTCTAGGGTATTTTAATATTTTTGCTGTAAAAACCTCCTGAACGCAGGAACATACAACACTTGTCCAAATGCAAAGCCTGCTCAGTGCAGAAAGATCCATCAGCTTAACAATTTCAAGGCTAAACTGCCTCAGAGTCTGTGGTCACTAAATGCAGCAGGATACAACTGTGGCATTGTTCAATGGGTATGGGACTAGATCTCATTGTTTCAGAATTGGTGGTTTATGCACTGGTGTTGGTGGCTCAATGCAGCGAGGTCCCACAGACTGTTATACATGATGCACTGTGTTTTGCTTTTGACAGGGCTAGGGTTAAGATACAACTTGAATTCTGTTGAGATGTTGATCATTGCTAAGGTGGAAAATGTCAAATTGAAGAGGTTGCACTCACCTGTTGCAAGAGCTTCCTCTCTCTGGTCTCCCTCCCCTGGCTGCTTGATGTTCCACTTTGTCAGTGGCAAAGTATCGTAGTCCTCCATTGAATATAACCTCAGCATGTCCATCCGCGGACCTATGTACTGCGGCACATAAGCCTTCTTGTTGTTGGCAAACATGTGCTCCAGGATCCCTTGTGTGTTGACTTCATCTGCTGTGCTGAGGTACACTGAGATGCGTTGGCTGCTCTGGTAGACCGGATGAGATGTGAGCTGCAGTATTTATTGACACATTAGAGCAGAAATAACAGTCATTTTCAAATTAAGATTAAAAACAGAATTAGGCCTAAAGCCGGGCTGATTAAAAAAAAATAGTTTCTTGTCCAGACTTGTGTGAATAAATGACGGAGGGGGCCCCTTTTTTCCCCAAGACTGCAGAGTTTCCATGATGGCAGATGGAATCTTCCATTTTCTTGACTCTTTTGCTAATACAAAATTGTGACCAAATTTTCAATTTTGTTTGAAAGTAGGCCTGGTGGGCGGTGGGCCTAGTACATCATGTACTTTGAACATCAACATGTTGAAAATGCATGCAACTCTCCATAGGTTCTTCTACACAGCCAAAGACGGTCAGGATACTACATTCTTTCCGTTAAATCATACTCATAGGCACATATGATTACCTTCTTGAAAATGATTGCCGACTGTTGTACCTTTTCCTCACTTGATAAGGCAGCAATTCGTTGTTTCATTTCGCGACGAAGTAAACTTTTCGCTTCACGCATGGCGGCCGCCATCTTTGTTGTTATATCCTATAGAGGGCGCTAAACAGTTTATCCACGTTGCAGCGGCGCAGATCAGTAAATCAAACCCACTTCCAAAATCAGGACAAATACTCACTCAAAGGTGTTTGAGACGCACACCAAGCTTATTTCATCATCTTTTTCATCATTATTTGGAAAATCATTCAATTCGTAAATAAGTATTATGTTCAGTTTGTAAAATTTCATTGATCGGTTTTTTGAAATGCATTCGGGTGGTATTGGTAAAATACACGTTTGATGTTTCGGAATACGTTCTCATTTAATGCATTACATTGTGAAGATGGATGTTCGATTTTTAAAACTGCGTTCGCTGTTGGAAAATGATGCATTCCGTTTTATCAGTATTTATGTTAGAAAAATACAAATACGATTTTCAAAAATATATTCCGTTGTTCAAAATCTATGTTTCAATCTTTTTATACTGTATATCTGCTTTATATAATCCTTCTTTGTTTTAAAAACTCTCAAGTTCATGACCCACAAAATGGTAGATAATTTAAATGCAAATCGTGATTTGGCGTAGGCAAGTTTGGACCTATTTACTGGCCTGCAACCTTAGACTATATCCAAGGGCGCAAAGTATTCTTCCGGTAATTTTTTTCAAAATTCCTTTTCCCCGAACGATATTTCAAAGAATATTGTCCTTGAAAAGGATTAAATTGGTTTTTGGCATTCAGACGCTGATTCATCTTTTAAAAACATTCACGCGCGAGCTGACTAGACTTGGCCGGAGTCGCCGGGTGTTGCGCTTGGTCTGTTGCAAGCTAGTACATGTATGCCTATAAGTACCGGGACGTACGACGTTGACTGATCAAAGATCCTTAGCGCCGTATAGCCGCTACACGGCGCTAAGATCTTCGTTGATGATGGCGTGATGTCAGTGTATACGGGGGTGTGGATATCGACTTAAGTCTGACTTGAGTCAATATATAGCTGAATTGGGAGCCTCTAGCTCCAAGCTGACTTGAAAAGACAAAAAAGTATCACAGCGTGAACCAATTTTGTTCGTTGAGTGTCTCATTGGAAAGTTCATAACAAAATAATAATGAATTCAATTTTATAACTTATTTTTAGGTACCACACCCAAACGCACGGGACCCTCGCAGGCGTAAGTTTGGTTGTGGGTCACCTGCAGTTGCAGGTGTTCTGTCCAGTACCTCGCGTACTAATATCCGAGCTCCCTCATAGCTGGCTAGCTAGCTGCATGTGCTCACGCTGCATGTGACGCCTACGTCACGATTCCATTTTACGGGGTCCAGTGACAGAGAGTGTTAGCCTTATTTATTGCTAGCATATAGTTCCTCCCCCATTAGCCTATACATACAAGTTCGATGGTCCCCTTCATTTTTTCTTGCAAAAATGGACATGTCTAGTAACGTGTCGATGTTTAATTATCAGTCCTCAAAACTGCCATTACCCTAGTGCATTAACTCAAGTGGTGGCGCATCTTTAATACATGTTTATATAACCGACATACATATCCTTGTCATTTGATTGGTGGAACTCACATCACGTGACATTCGTTATTGCTCCCATTCACGCCGGGGCTCACGCATTCGCCCATGGGGAATGGGAAATACTATTCAACAGTTAGGATCATTTGGAAGAGAGAAATATATTTTCCACCAATTTTGTATTGAAGTAAAAGTTCAGATATCAAATGACAAGGATCTATATGTCAGTATATAAAACAAATATTGAGTGGTTTTAAATTGTGGATTGGGAAAAATATTATCGCTCGGTAAAATCTGGACTTTTCCAGTCACTCGGCTTCGCCTCGTATGGAAAAGTCCAGATTTTACCTTGCGATAATATTCCTCCCATTCCACGCCGAGCCACTAAATATTTGTATAATATGATTTTCACGCTGCTGTATTCAATACGACATTTTAAATTGTTTTGCCTCATGCAACATTAACCTTCGTTCCTACGCTCATAAATCTCTCCCGGCCTTAAAGTAAAACAATGTGCATACCAGAGCAACGCATATGATCTGAATTTCATCGAAATTCATTAGAATGAGACCACACAGTGATGGTAACACCTTTTGCCGTATCGATCGTTTTGTGATGCGCGTTTCATAAGTGGCCTCGCCCCGCCCTAATATCACAGCTGCTGCCTGTACTGCAGCGCTGAAAATAATTATGTCGGAGTTTTTTGGAACACCACTGAAGTAACGATCGTTATTGTTTCTTTAACATTGGGTGTATCATAGCGACAGCTAGTGGGAAGATGTGATATGCAGTCCTCCCCCACCCATAAACTCACAATCAACTTATAATGCGCCAAATTCCTGCATGGGTCTTGTGATTTCTCATTGGCGTATCCGGGGGGGGGGGCACAATTGTTTGTTCAGCAATTATTTCAATAAATGGTTAATGAGTTCTGACATCAACCCGCTAAAAGAAAACCCGCTCAAAAACCATTACAATGCGCCGTGAAAATTGGTATATAATTTGCAGTATGCATAAATGTGGTCAGTTTTGATAAGCGCCTCCATTTGGAGGCCAAGTGTCTGGAGAAAAAAACACCCATGTCTACATTTCGGCGCGGATGTGCGGTTGCCCCCGCCCCTCGACATCCAAATCTGGATACGCTACTGTTGAAGGCACAATAAATGGAAGAACTATGACACCTTATTTAACCCTCCGACGCAGAAAGCCCATTTAGTAACACACTTACAGTAAGGGGTCCCCCGGGGACCCAAATATTAAGCGCCACGGTTTGAGGCTACACAACACTGTATCCACATGAACACAATCTTGCCATGTCTGTAGACTAAGGAGGTGTATTTGTATACATAGTCTGTGGTCAAGCCGTGCACTATGGCACGCCAAAGCGGAATTTATTCAACCCTGCACGGCAACTGCTAACATTATAAAATACATCACAACTTTTTTAAAAAGTATGTCAACATTGTAAAAAATATGTCAACATTGTAAACAATATGTCAACATTTCAAAAACGTATGTCAACATTTCAAAAATATATGTCAACATTTCAAAAAGTATGTCAACATTTTAAAAATATATGTCAACATTTCAAAAATATATGTCAACATGTTTAAAAATATGTCAACATTAAAAAAAAATTATGTCAACATTGTAAAAAATATGTCAACATTGTAAACAATATGTCAACATTTCAAAAACGTATGTCAACATTTCAAAAATATATGTCAACATTTCAAAAACGTATGTCAACATTTTAAAAATATATGTCAACATTTCAAAAATATATGTCAACATGTTTAAAAATATGTCAACATTTAAAAAAAATTATGTCAACATTTTAAAAAATATGTCAACATTGTAAACAATATGTCAACATTTCAAAAACGTATGTCAACATTTCAAAAATATATGTCAACATTTCAAAAACGTATGTCAACATTTGAAAAATATATGTCAACATTTAAAAAATATATGTCAACATTTTAAAAATTATATGTCAACATTTCAAAAACGTATGTCAACATTTGAAAAATATATGTTAACATTTAAAAAATATATGTCAACATTTTAAAAATTATATGTCAACATTTTAAAACAATATGTCAACATTTAAAAAAAAATATTTGTTCTGATTAATTAACTAGAAATTACATGTCAACATTTGCCAAAACTACCTACTACTTGTTGACAAATATATGTGTCAACCCATCCTGCTACAAAGTTCACCTAAAATACGTGTCAACATTTCGTCCAAAAATATGTGTCAACACTACCCGATGAAAAATATATGCCAACATTCACGTGACCGCCACGACGGAGTACATGCGCGAAGTATGCTGCGCTAGCACCCGGTGTCACGGTCTCACTTCTCCGGCGTGCTGGATTCTCCGGGTGAATGCGGCGGATAATTGAGCACGTTACAGTGCACGGTACATGATGAGCACGATACATGCTCATGTGTCCGCTGTGCTTACTTTTCCTCGGGTGGTGCTATGGAGTCTACCAAATCCACCCAAGAGGGTGCAGTGAACTAATTCAAGTGAGAATTTCTACGCGAGCTGATTAGCATAAAAAGTGACCCCACAGTTTCTTTTGAAAACGGAGACCGTTTGGCTTAAAAACCGATGGAATTGTGTAAATGTAGCCAAGGATCAACTCCATGGTTTTTGGGCTTCCATCTGAGGGCAGGCTTGATAAAATTACGGTTGAAAAATGGGTCCTATTTGCCTGAGAAAGTGGAAGGATGCCACTTGTAAAAGGGCTACATGCAGGCTTGGGAACTATCACTTTTCGGGAGGTGATTTTGTACGGCGTTCCACGAGTGCCATCCACTTCTTTATTTACTCAGATAATTCATCACGTCATGTTGACATATCGCCGAGAGTAAGGCGATTTAATCACATAATTGTATCGCCCAGTCGACTTACCGAAGACGACTTGTCCAGATGCATAATCTCTCCAAGTCGACTTCCAGAAGTCGACATGACGACTTTTCCAGAGGCATTATCTCATTATCTCTAAGTCGTCTTCCATAAGTCGACATGACGACTTGTCCAGATGTATTATTTCGTCAAGTCGACTTTCCGAAGTCGAGATGATGACTTGTCCAGATGTATTATCTCGCCAAGTTGACTTCTCGAAGTCGAGATGACGACTTGTCCAGATGAAATATCTCGCTAAGTCGACTTCCTGAAGTCGAGATGACAACTTGTAGAGATAAATTATCTTGCCAAGTCGACTTACGATGTGAAGATGATGACATGCACAAATCTCGTTCTGCATGGATGTCCCGTTTTTTGAAGCATTGTCGTGGATTCTTTCTTGTTCGTCGGTGCATTTGAGGTTTTCCCCACCCGTTCTTATATGAACAATAAACTGGCAGAGGAACAAGAGATAAACTGTAGGGTATTGATTTGATCTGGGTCGAAGTTGATTTGTGTTTTTTTATTTTCATCTTGTTTTAAATTACTCCCCGTAGGAAATCACACCTCTGCCTTGTTTTCCCCTATTTATCCCGTTGAAAAGTAATTCGCTTCACGTTAAACATTAACA